CCTGAGGAACACCGCACGAGACAGTACGGGTGCTGGAGGAGAAGCCGTTTGCTGCAACGAAGTGGAGGCGGTGGGAAGGTAGGATCTGAACCAGTCAAGGACAGAGCCTTGAAGGTTGAGGTGGGAGGAGGCGGTGGAGGAGGATTGAGTGGTCCATGATGTCAAAGGCAGCGGAGAGATCGAGAAGGATGAGGAGGCAGAGGGAGCCCTGGTCACACATGGTCAGGATGTTGTTTGTGACCTTGACCAAAGCAGTTTCTGTGCTGTGGGCAGCACGGAAACCCGATTGGAGGGGCTCATGGAGGGAGTGAGAGGAAGGAGAGGAAAGAGCGAAGCTGGGAGGCAACAGCTCTCTCAAGGACCTTGGATAGAAAGGGTAGATTTAAGATGGACCAGTAGCTGGATAGCTGTGACGGGTCGAGGGAAGGTTTCTTCAGGGTGGGGGTGATGGTAGCTGTTTTGAGCGGGGAAGGATCAGTGCCAGATGACAGGGAGAGGTTAATGATGTTGGCGAGTAGTGGGGCAAGGAGGTGGAGCTGAGATTTAAGGAGAGGGGTGGGGATGGGGTCGATGGAGCAGGTGGTAGACTTCATGGAGGTTACCGTGTTGAAGACAGAGGAGGGGGTGACAGTTTCAAAGGTGTGGAAGGAGGGATGGCTAATTGTCAGATGGGTAATTGTGTGGGGTGGGGGTAGGGAGGGGTTGGAAGTTGGGAGGGCAGTGGCAGTTGAGCAAATTCCCTCGATTTTGGACTGAAAATCCAAAATCGAGGGAGGAAGTCCAGCATTTTCTCGCAGTGAGAGTCAGAGGAAAGTATTTGCGAGGTGTGTCGCAGAGGGTGGAGGAGCTGGTTAGTGGTGGAGAAAAGGGAAGAGCTGGTTAGTGGTGGAGCACTTCAAAATGATGGAACGCTAAGCAGGGGAGAAGTGAGAGAAGAAGAGTGAGATGACCAAAGAGGCAGTTTTAAGTAGGTCTTAAAGACAGATACAGAGGGGGTGAGATAGAGGGAGTAGAGAAAGACTAACATGGATTCTGTCTCGGTCACCAACCACAGCAGCGAATCCACGTCCTAACAACTCTCAGGGTGAAAGCATTCCTGCATAATCTTAAATCGATTCCCTCTAGTCAATGACTCACTGAGCGCACATTTCATTCTTTCATTTTTGATACAATCTAAAAAAAAACTTCAAATCGTGGGCAGCACGGAAACCCGATTGGAGGGGCTCATGGAGGGAGTGAGAGGAAGGAGAGGAAAGAGCGAAGCTGGGAGGCAACGGCTCTCTCAAGGACCTTGGATAGAAAGGGTAGATTTGAGATGGACCAGTAGCGTGGGTAGCCTAGCAGGTGAGAGGGAAATCATGTTCTGTGCCAATGCTACAATTGGCTTCAGTCCATCTACAAAAACGGCTTCTCCTCCCCCTCTCATCCGGTTATTGCGGGGTACCCCAAGGATCCATCCTTGGCCCCCTCCTTTTTCTGATCTATACACTTCCTCTTGGGGATGTCATCTGCAGACATGGGGTACTTCCACAAATTTCCTTCAGCTGAACGTTGACAAGATGGAAGCCATACTCTTTGGCTCTCGTCAACGTCTAAAATCTCACGGCTCTCACCTCCTCCACCTATCCTACCTCCCCCTAAAACTCTCTGAACCCGTACGCAACCTAGGCGTCAGGTTCGACCCCCAATTATCCTTCTTCCCCCACATCCGGTCCCTCACCAGCACCGCTTTCTTCCACCTGCAATGGATCGCCCGTCTCTGCCAATACCTCACTCCAAATGCCACTGAGACCCTGGTCCATGCCTTTGTCACCTCTCAGTTGGACTACTCTAATGCCCTCCTCGCCGGTCTCCCCTCCACTACTATCCATAAAATCGAAATCATTCAAAACTCTGCCGCCCGCATTCTCACCTGCACGAAACTCCCTTCCCCGATCACCCCAGTCCTTGCCAGGCTGCACTGGCTGCCTATCCCAGAGAGGATCGATTTCAAGATCCTCACCCTTGTATTCAAGTCCCTGCACTCCTCTGCACCCCCCTACCTCTCTGACCTCCTCTCTCCTCAAAACAGTACCCATTGCCTTCGTTCCTCCGGGTCTGGCCTCCTCCTTGTCCTCAGAGTCCTCCACTCCATCCTCGGTGGCCGTGCCTTCAGCCACTATGCCCCGAGGCTCTGGAACGCCCTTCCTCACTCCCTTCGCCTCGATCCCTCCCTTCCTATTTTCAGGTCTTTGCTGAAGACCTTTCTTTTCGACAACGCCTTTGGTCACCTTCCTCCCCCTCCCCCTGGCTCGGTCCCGGGATCCGTTTGCTGTAAAGCGCTCCGAGTCGCCGTCCGACGTGGAGGATGCAATATAAATCCAAGTTGTTGTTGTTGGTGGTTTAGGGAGCAGGAAAATAAGCCAGATTTACCACTCAACAACAACAAGAAATTCCATTTATATAGCCTTTCACATTGGGAGGACGTCTTGAAATGTGCCTTGTAGGAGGCGAGGGAGGGGACAAGGTGGAGAGCATGAGATGGAGAGGCTCGGGGATGGATTTTGAGAGGCTGGAGGCAGAAAAGCTGAAGGCCTGGCTGCCAATGTCAGAGAGGCAGGGCAGAGAACATGGAGTGTTAAACCATCAGTGTTAAACCACCAGATGTTCATATGATGGATGGCAACTAAAATATTTTCTTTCAAATGTTTTTTTCCAATTCTCCTTATAAGAAGGCACATTCCTGGTAAACAAATTCAAAGCCATAATATTTTTCAGTTATTTTAACGTTTTCCTTGCACAGAGATAGGGAGGAGTAAGACTCTGGAGGGCTTTAAAAGTGAGAATGAAGATCTTTAACTCGATCCTCTGGGGAATGGGGAGTCAGTGAGGATGGAGGTGATTGGCTCATGGAGCTCAGTGTAGTTCAGAGTTCTGAATAATCTGCAGCCCTTGGAGGGAAGAGTTGGAAGGCCGGTGAGCAGGGAGTTAGCATAGTCAAGCCTGGTTGTAATGAAAGCATGGATGAGGATCTCGGCAACCTGAGGGCAGAGGTAGTGATGCAGGCAGGCAATGTTGCGGTGATGGAGGAAGGCAGAATGAGTCATGGCACAGATATGAGGTTTGAAAGACAGTTGAGGGTCGAACAAGACATCACTGACCACTGTCCAGTGACCCCTGTCAGTAGCTATACGGATGTTGGGTGAAAACAGGATCAACGGTACTGTGATGCTCTCCACAACTAAGCAGCTTGAAAAATCTCAAATGGCTTTTTGGCAACACAGTGGAAGATTTGCCAGAACGCATGGTATTTCACCTCAGCACGTCCCAGTGCCCGTAGGAGCGCAGGAGGGGAGGAAATTGTGGTAAAGTTACTTGGAAGAAGATCTTAAAAACAGCAACAAAATTACATTTGTATAGCGGCTTTCAGGTCGGGAGGACATCCCAAGGGGCTGGATAATCAGTGTTTTGGACCCAAGCTGAGGGTCGGGATCAGGGAAGGTGGAGGGCAGGGGGGGAAGCCGAGTGACTGAAGGCACGGTCGAAGAGGAGGGTCTTGAGACTGGTCTTGAAGGAGGCAAGGGAGGGAGCCGAGGTGAAGGGACTATGAGATGGAATTCCAAAGGGTGGGGGCAGAGTGGCTGAAGGCCTGCCTGCCAATGGTGGAGCGGGGGTCGTGAGGCAGGCTGGAGCCCGCTGAGTGGAGGAAATAGGCAGCTTGGTTGGGAGTTAGGAGGTTGCAGAGGTAGGGGGAAGCAAGGCCATGGAGGACTTTGAAAGTGAGTACCGGAACCTTGAACTGTATCCTCTGTGTAATGGGAAGCCAGTGGAGTCGGGTGAGGATGGGGGTGATAGGATCACGGAGCCTGGTGCGTGAGAGGGCACAGGTGCAGAGTTCTGGATGATCTGCAGCCTATAGAGGGAGGAGTTGGGGAGGCCGACAAGTACAGAATTTGCGTAGTCGAGCCTGGATGTTATGAATGCGTGCATGATATTTGCCTGATACACTGGCGGCCTGCGGTGAGAGACAGTAGTGGAACCAGGCGATATTGTAGAGATGGGGAAAGGTGCAGCAGGTAATGGCATGGATGTGGGGTATGAAAGACAGTGGAAGGTCGAACAGGACGCCGAGGTTCCATATTGGCTCTGTGAGATGTAGAGTGCATCCATGGAGGGAGATGCTGTCAGCGCCCGAGCTATGGAAGTGCTTACAGGAGCCAAGCAGGAGGGTCATGGTCTTGTTGGTATTCAACTGCAGGAGGTTAGCCCTCATCCAGGACTTGATGTCCGACAGGCAGTCTGCGAGGACAGCAGTGGTCGTGGAATTGAGGGTGGAGGCAAAGAGGTAGAGTTGGGTGTCATCCGCATGTGTGTGGTAGTTGACCCCATGTCAGCGGAGGATGTCACCAAGGGGCAGCATATAGATATTGAAGAGGAGAGGGCCAAGGACAGAGCCCTGAGGGACTCCACACGTGATGATGTGGGGGCTGGAAGAGAAGCCGTTAGTGGCGACAAAATAGAGACATTGGGAGAGGTAGGATTTGAACCAGGTAAAGACGGGTCCATGAAGGTTGAGCTAAGAGGGGAGGCGGTGTAGAAGGATAGAACTTTACGGGGGGGGGGGGGGGGGGATTGTCCTTTGCAAACTTAGTTATCTCGCAAAACTTGACAACTGTATAGGCAACAGGGAGCTGCACTCAACTCTGCATTCTGCACCAGCAAAATACCAGTGGACAACTGCACTTACGATGCAACATTATTTTGGTATGAGCTACATGGAGCAGGGAGCAAACAGGAGGGTCAGTGGATGCGCCCGTATCTGATGTCGTAGTCACTTTAAATAGAAAATAGTGCAAACAGAACCACACTGCCAAGTTGCAAACCAGAGCAGCAAAATCAAATCAGTGCAGAGCTTTAAATGCACTACATTTTCCAACGGATTTGGCGGTGCAGGTCACTGCATTAAATCAAATTAGGAACAGTTTGTCAAATTACTGACGGTTTCTGATTAAATCCACTACCTCTCTGCAAGTTCCTCTTCCTCCTGGGTTTCCATCACTCCACCTTCACACGTTTCCTCCTCCAGGATGAAGGAAATCTCGGGGTCGATTTTGTCGGATTCCTCAGAAATACAAGCCTCGAAGTTTTCCATGTTTTGCTCCCGTTTTTCCTCAACAATAACAGTTGCAGTTTAACCGAGAGGCTCGCGAAGCCCGTGTCATTACTGTGTGCCCCAGGTTTCCTGACTCAGGACAGTCTTTAAATAGAAATACCATTGCCAAAAGAGAGAGAACTTCCTTTCAGCTCCAGAAGTCCACTGTCCTCTGGGTCCTAGAACCAGTGGATATACTTTTGGTTGAACAGATGTCAATCAAATTGACCATGTCCCCCTCCCTCACCTGGACAGTGCGTTATTGTTGAAATTAACAACCTAGTTTCTCCAATTACCAGACTTATTACGTTATTGAATTTGACGTACATTTGTTGGCTCACTATTGTTGGCACTCAAATTTAACTTTAGAAAAGCTAACTAAGGCAGCTGCAGGAAAGGGCAACGCTCAATTATATACGTTTGGCCAAAATGTATTTGTGCGTGTAATTGCTACACCACTTACCAGACTGTATTAGTGCATTGTATGAGCCGCCAGCAAATTAGAACAATTACTTTTCAAGTGAATAGAACTGGTCAAGTTACTTTGCAAAAGTTTTTGCTGCAGAAATTGCCCTTATATCTTCACGTTGGTGAACACATCCAAGCGCTTCACAAAGGCGATGGGGATCACCGTGCAGAGTGGGAAGGACAGGAGTTTGAAAACAGTGACCAAATGTGTGGTTAAATACATGATTTATTATTAGAGGGTTTTGAAGACAAGGGGAGAAAGTGCAAGGTGAAAGCATGTTGGGAGAACTCAAAATGAACTCTCCCCAATGTAGTCAACACAAGTAAATGTCAAATGAATTGCTCAGCGATTTTCACGTACCAAGTATAATATGGTAATCAGCTATGTGCTATTGATTTGTGATTATGTAATGTAATGGCCCAATACTGATATATTATATAGAAAACCAGGTCATATTCAACTTTAGAAAACTTATTGATGGTTTTTTGGGGTAGTTCTGAACTGGCTCTTCAGGGCTCAAAACCTGACTGGATACTTTCATTTATTAACTGAGTAGCTGCATTGATGCATGAACCAGTACGAACCCATCTTCCACATCTTACAGCGGAAAACTATTAATGTTCTTGTGCTAATGGTGAAAGAGAAGTGGTGTGCATACAATTTAATGTGCTGTGGGCTTGTCATAACTTGAATCAGTTTCGGGTCGTGAAGAAATTTCTTCAATATTAACAGTGCATTTTTGCGACTTACAAAAGATCTGATCTTTGTTCTGCATCAAATTTTCATTGGTAAATCTTGACATCCACTTACCAATTTGTGAAGCTACTTTCAGAAATCTATTAGCCACTGCAGTGTCAGGTGTGAACCCACAACCTTCTGACCCAGAGGTGAGAGTGCTACCACTGCGCTAGGCTGATACACATCTAGGAAGAGTTATAAAAACGATAATGGGGCAGGGCATTAAATATTTTACTGCATAGTATTCCACAACTTTAGTCAGGACCACAGACCTAAACACAGTTTTCACTCGCTAGTCTGCAGGGTCTAGCAACTTTGGTTTGGTATTTAAAGGCTAAGAACAGAGCAATCTTTAGAAGTTATTGACAGCAACAACTCAGATGTATTATCAAAGTAACATACTTCCAACACAATTTCCATTATATAACACCCTTCACATCAGAACAACTCAAAGAGCCAGGCAAAGCCAGATGGGCACCTGAGGTAAAGGGGAAGGACAGCTAAAGATGACTGAAAGCGCAGTCAAAGAGGTACATTTTGAAGTGAACCATGGCAGCCAATTTTTTTTTGTTTCTATGATGTTACTTGGCACAGGTAGAAATATTGTATCTCATTTTAAATATATTCTGTGAAGCTCTTTGAGACGTCTAGCAGATGTGAAAAGCGCTATATCGAATGCAAGGATTATTATTGTAAAGCTCATCTATTTCTGCAGAATTACATTGGTATTTCACACTACCCCACTGATAACTTCACTTGTGATGCCAAAACACCATTTCCAGCCTTTCAAAATCGGTTGAGGATCGTTTCTCTATAATGTTCATCTTTTTATTTTTTAATTTCTTCCCCACTTCTTTTCTTGTTCCAGTCCTACTTGATTTTCTCTAACCTATAAAGCCACTCTCTCATTTTTTCAGTGAAAGCTAACATGTCTCTACCTTGTAGATGCAGCTTACCATACAATGGATTGGTTTCTAGCATTTTCTGGTTTTATTTTAGATTGTCAGCACCCATTAATTTCATATCATATATCTTATCCTCATTGCAGCACATTAACAAATTCTACCATCAAATTATACACAGCACACAAGAACAAAGCTGTCATATGAAAAGGGCTTGAAAAATGAAAAGATCTTGTAATTTGTAATGTTTGTGTTAATATCCTTCAGGTAAATATTTTTCATATATGTAAATCAAAGCTAATTCACTTGGTTTGAAGTAATTTAAGCACCTTGATAATTATCTGATAGTCTAATTGATTTGAAGAAGAATTAAAGTTTCCAGCCTTTACATATCAATGCATGAAACAAATAGTGTTAAGAAGTTTTAAGTTTGTTAGGCGATTGGCGAATCGCTTTTCCGGAGGTAATAATCAATTCAAAAATAAAAAAAATTATAATAGTTTGGTCACTCAATCCATGATTGTTTGTGGGACACTGCTGTGTGCAATTGGCTGCCACAATTCCCCAACAAAATACAGTCAACTCACTTTACAGTATATTCTGTGAAGCACTTTGAGTCTCAAATGTCTCAAGACACTTCACACAGCTAACTAGGAGTCCAAGGACTTTGTATGTGTGTATGGGGGAGAGGTTAGGGAAAGATAGTAAAAGTTCGGTCAAAAAGATAAGTCTTGCGGCTTGTTCTGAAGGTAAGAAGGGAGGGATCAAGGGAGAGAGAGACCCTGGGATGGAGCTCCCAAACAAGGCAGAATGGCTGAAAGCTCACCCACAAAGTGGATTGGGCAGGGGATATAAAAGCAGGCCAGTGTTTTGCGATTGAACAGAGCGTACGAGGCAGTAGGGTAGCAGAGAAGCTGGCCTGGCTGCACTGAATAGTGACTGGGGCTAAGGATAGCAGAGGGCTTAATTTTTCCTGCAACCTCTGCAAAAAAAAAAGCTGCTCTTGGCCCATAAGGGCCAATACACGGGGAGTAAATGAACTTGGTATCACAGTCACGTGGTATCAAAGGCTTTGGCTATATACCTCAATGGCACTTCAAAGATGAAAAAGACTGTCACCTGACAAGGACCTGCCCACACTTTGTGAGTGCTTTGTTCACGTACGTTTGATGATTGTGCATGCGTCTGTTTCAGATTAGGATGTGTCTAAGGCCTCAAGTGGGATACAGGTCAGGATGCAAGCATAACAGGAGAATTCAACAGCAATAGAGACAGGCCCAGGTCAAACTGTGAACAGCTGTACCACATCATTGTTGAGATAATTGTCACAGCAGCTGAGACACCATATATGAAGACAATGAAATGTAAAGAAATTGAAAAGATAAATGATTTATATGGAGTCTTTTTCCTGCTACAAGCTAATATAATTAATTTCTAAATTGTATTATATCAGTAATACCTAGAATAGAAATTAGAACACTGAGTCCCACATTATAATATTCATGATATTCAGTTTTATATGCTATATGGTCTTATGTAAGATATGTAAGAAATACTAGAATCATATTTGGTAGATTTCAAACTTACTAATTATCCTTTGTGGAGGAAGAAGAAATAAAGCTGTCCCTACTTTCTAAATTTACTTTACAAAGAGCAAGCTCAAATTTTGCCTTAAAAAGAAAAAAAAACACAGGTTTGATTTTTGGTATAAAATGCAGTAAAGTGCAGAAGTAAATTTACATTTTGAAGTGCCTTATACCAGGATTGACATGGGTGTGCAAGAATTTCTTGTTAGCATTTTCCATAGGAAGGAAGTGCTAAAATTGCTTTGTATATAAGAGATGAGCAAAGTAACATTTGTAATCACGTTCTAACAATTAATAAATGCAACAGCAGAACGGCATAGCACAAATATTTCTTTATTTACAGTACAGTTCATGCCACTTTATTGAAATCACTTGGACCAGACAAGTAAATTAATAAGAAATGGCTCCTGCAATAAACAAATTAATTTCTCACCATTAATGACCTTCACAGAAATTCAAGCCAATTAATTTTGTATATGTACTTTGCTAAGCAAGCAATCCATTTCTATATCATATGAAGGTGAGAAACTTTTGTGTAGGCAAGATTTTATAGAATAAATTAGGTTTGAAAACCCCTACAAATTCAAAGAGTTATCCAATATTTAAATTTTGCATTTATTTAAATAATTTTATCAAATCAAGAGATTAGTGAACTGATCAGTGAATTGATTAAAAAATATCTTTACATGCTTCTTTCATTACCTTTAAACATCAGTGTTCTTGTCATAAGTTACTGAAAGGACTATACGGTTCTTGTTTTCCAGCAATCATTTAACTAAACTTTTTTGCTGGAGCGCACAAGCATGTAAAGATGTAAAAATTGTAACCTTGCGATTGCTATGGTTCTTGTGTTGGCTCAATTACGTAGAGGATTCAGCTTCTCAATTTACTCAGATTCTTCTGTAAAAAACAAAAATAATTTAATCACAAATCGTTTTTAAAGGTTAAAACCTGAAAGAACACGATCCTGAAATGGGGTAAAAACTTTAGCACTGTTTATATGCCAGCTATTAATTCACTTTTGCATTGACAAGTTTTTCAAATCAAGAGGCCATGTAAAACACTACAAAGTTATCTCACGTGATTGTTTCTTAGCAGAGTCTCAACCCCTGTTGCGTGGCTTTGAATCTACTCAAAGTAATTTCATCTGTGACCGTGTAAGCAGCCCAGACCTGTTGAATCAAATTACTTTCCCTGCAATGTACTGCTGTAGGCTGGACAATTTTTTCTATTCATAACATCATGACGCAAGTTTGCTCATGACATCTAGCCTCTGTGAATGCAAAGCACCAGCTTTCAAATGACCACCCCCTGCTCCGAATTAGACGAGTTAGGTTGCTGTACCTAAACCCACTGTAACTTGCAGCAGGTCTTAATTCACAAAAGTGCAATGGGAATTAAATAATTGAAAGCCATATAAAAGGGGTATAATATTGCACTGTAAAGGCTTGTTTCAATCAGGTTTTTTTCCATATGCAAACTTTATTTAAATTTAGACAATATACAAAATAAAAGACAAAAGGGAATTTCAAAAGAAAAACGAACGTGACATTCTAGAACGTAGCAAAAAACAAAATCCATAATTTTTTACAACAGACAAAAAACATGAAATAAGAGAAACAAGTTAATTACCCACCATTTCTTTATTTTAAAAAAGCATTTTTGGAAGTTGGCCTCCCTAGGTTGGTTTAAAAAAATAAACTGAAAAAAAACAGCTCATCTTTCACCTAAATTCTGCCTGGCATCCTATGAGATGATGCATTTTGGTTGCAATTATTTTATCATATAAAAATAAAGAAAGAATGATCTATGTGATACCACCATGTCTGAAAAATTTTCATTGACATTACAGAAGCAAAGATTAAGATGCATGCAGAGTTACTTAGATAAGTTATGTGGGACTGCGAACCATGGTCGCTTTTAAGAGGAAACAAATGACCAAATATGTTTTCAAACTGCCCAATGTAGGTGCAAATTATAGTTACTGTGAAGGAGAATATCTATTGTGAACATGAGCCAAATTAAATTTTAACAGTTATAACAGAGAATAATAGCCCTGTCACCCTTCCACTTTGATGCAAATGAAATGTACATTTCCAAACAGTCCATTGATCACTACGTATCCCTTATCAGGTTGTACAGATTGCCTTTGCAGCATATCTATTAACATCACCATTAGGTAAACTTTTGACCTCTAATGATCTTTCAAGAGAGCTTGTTTTAATAATCATTTGTCCTTAATTCTAGGATTCTATTCTTCAGTTCCTATAATGAGGATTTCATGGCCAGCTTGTCGAGACAAATGGAGGAAACAAAAGGGGAGGAAAAAAGATAGATCCGTAGATTTTTCTTGCCACATAAAAGACAAAAGAAATCCCATAATTAATCAGGCATCTTTCAGATGAATTATCACTGAGAGCAGAAAGTCTTCCATAGATAGAAGTGTTGGCATTTTGTTCCCACTTCCATTTTCTTCACCAACACAATACCTACAGCACAGCCAGTCTGTCATCTTCCCCTACCCTCTACTGCAGCTCTTGCTGGGAGAATGCTGAACAAGTCTTTGTTATTTTTAAGTTTGTGCCAGGACTAAAGAAAAACAAAATTGTAATTGAATTAGTGCATCGCTATTAATTAGAAGCACAACTGTGGCTGATTTAATTAATTTGTGTTTTTATCATTTTAGACACCAATGTCACATGTATGATCACATAAAGCAATTAATCTTGCACAATATAATTGAAAGATAGACATTATCAAATGTAATACGAGTCTCCAGTCTATTAACATTAATTGCTTTATGTGATCATACATGTGACATGGTATCTAAAATGATAAAACAAATTAATTAAATTTTTTTGCATTTCATACAAACGCAGATACGATTCAACCACTTTGTTGTATTTAGTTTTTTTTAAATAAAGACTAAACAGAGCATACAAGTTCAAAATAAAAGAATGTACTTTATGACAATGAATACACCCATACACAAGCCCACTGAAACTGATCAGCTATGCTTCATGCTGTTCCTTCTCAACATTAACAGCACAGAAACCCAAAGAGGCAAATATCACATTTAGTTCCCTGTGAAATATTGCTTCCCCACTGTCTAATTCTGACATTCTGAACTTTGCATTTTCTCCATGGTAAAATGTTGTTTTCTGAATAATAAGCAATATTCTGCCATTTTAGATTGCACTCAATTAAATGAAAACATTATATAATTACAGTAGAAAAGAACTGGGAATGAAATGAAGAAATCATTACAGTATTGGCAGTAATTGTAAAAGCACCAACTGAAATTACCTACAACTAGCATTCACTGAGTAATTTAGATTTATTGTGTTTTTCTAACCAGCATTATTACGACATTTATATGATTTCCACTTTTTTCAGTTGAATTTTTCATTTCACATCTCCCACCTGAATTCTCAAATGCTCTCCAATAGAGAGACCATTGTAAGCCAAATAAAAATCATTGACTTCAATGTAAACTATAAAAAAATCAAGAAAGAATTGCATAGTGCAAAAGTAAGATCTCCTTTGCAACAAAATGCTGTTGAATCAGTGAAGCAGGCTTATGCATCCTTTGCTTTTACCATCACAATAAAATGTTGTTCCTTGCATGAAGATTAATAACTAAAGCAAATGAAAAAGTAATACTGATGAAAGAAAATGAAGGTTTGAGATAAGTTCAAACAAATTTTTATTTACTAAGTAAAATTGGATCAGAAAAGTTATTTTGTCATAAAAGTGGCCAGGAACACTACTGCAAACAATACATTCCCTTTTCATTTGCATTTTCTACATTTATTTTCTCATTTGCTAAAGGGTTTCTTTAGCAAAATGGGTGGGTCAGTACAATAACATGATCAGTTAACAAGTGACGTACTTCTTGTGTTAATGTCTAAGTGTTAGCTGGAGCTAAACTGGCAAATGCTTGGCAACGGAATGTCGGAATCCAGCCAGCCATCCGTTGTGGTCTCGGTAGTCCAGTTCCTGAGCCAGGCGGGTCAGCAGTATACCAGGGCTCTGCTGATGATAGTACAGCGAGCCTGGCTCATTGGCAGGACCTGGAAGGCCCAACCATTCAGGGAGTCATCCCACTCAGCTCCTCTTAACCTTGCAAGCCAAAGCCCTGATAGATAGGGTGGTCCTAGCTGGACGAGCAGCAGGAAAGCTTGCCAGACAGTGATATCAATGGCAAGCTACGTGATTTTAGCTTGTTAGACTCCAGCAGTATTCCAGCACACACTCTGGGGTGCCCAAGCCTTGGCTCTCGCCAGCCTGCACCTAATACTTTCCGGAATTGGATGATGTGTCCCTTCAGGGAGAGAGTGTGCATTCTATTCCAACAATCCATCTCTGGGATTTCCATGTGTAGGTGGGATGCATGGAATTCTCAGTTTGGCTTCGATACTCTTTCCGCATTTGTCAAGACACCCGCCTGACCCCAAAAAATCAGTTATAAATTACTAATCTGAGTTTCTCATTTCTAGAGATGAGATAATCGAATGGTGACTTTGAGAGAAGTGAAGATTGAAAGGTTTTGATCTGGTAGATGTTGTTGTGCATCTACACTGACACAGACGATGTCTTTTGCCTTAACGATGTTTCCACGTCACATCATTCTATGTAATTAGTTTTTGGGCCGGATACAGATACATTATGTTTTTACATTACACTTCAAGGATTCTAATTAGTAAGATTTACATTCTTAGACTTCTACATGTATCCCAGATCTACTTTTCCACTTACAACCTTGATTCAAGGTCCACTGATGTTCTGTGCTTGTCTTCAGACATCATGACCTGAATGAGCAACAATTTCCTTCAACTCAGCATGGAAGAGACGGAAGCCATCCTCCTAGGTCCCTCCAACATCTCGCTTCAACCTTGGCATCCAGTTCAATCTTCAGTTCTCCTTTCTCCCTCACACCCGGTCCAGACTGAGACTGCTTTTCTTCACCTCTCCAACATCGCCTGCCTCCTCCACTACCTCACACACAATGCCACTGAAACCCTCATCTATGCCATCGATACCTGCGGCCTGAACTTCAAATGTACTGCTCAAACTGGACTTCCAAGCTCCATTATCCCAAAACTCCAACGTATACAAAGTTCTGTCACCCGCATCCTCCTCCGCACCAAACTCCATATGCCCAGTATCCTAGTCCTCATGTTGATTTCAGTAATCGCTGTCCTCTACAAATCCCTTCACATCCCAGCACCTCCTCATCTCTCTGATCTTACCTTACCCCAATCGCCTGGTCTGCTCACCCCTCTACTCTGAGGGAAGGGGCATGATGGAGGGATTGAGGGAGAGAGTTCTAGAGTTTCGGGGCATAGTGTCTGAAGGTACGGCCACCGATGGTGGAGCGGAGGGGACGAGGGACAAATTGGATGCTGGAGCCAACCAAGCGGAGGCAGCGGGTGGGTGATAAGCAAATCGGATAGATAGGCAGGTGCAAGGTATCAAGGGATTTAAAAATGAGCGAGAGGATCTTGAAATCGATCCGTTCGGTAATTGGGAGCCAGTGGAGCCTGGCAAGGACTGGTGTGACGGGGGTACAGAGTTTTGTACAGATGAGCATCCGGGCGGCGGAGTTTTGAATTAATTAAATTTTGTGTATGGTGGAGCTGGGGATACCAGCAAGGAGGGCATTGGAATAGTCCAGCTGGGAAGTAACAAAGGCATGGATGAGGGTTTCGGCTGCTTTGGTTGTGAGGTACAAACGGAGATGGGCAAGCAAGTTCATCACTTATATTTAAGATTTTGCAATAGCATTTTCATAAACACTTACCTCTTCACCGAGGTTACTGAATGTAGAAACAAATATTGTTCTGAAGTATTGCCTTTGTAAAGTTCTCCCTTAAAGCACTGAACAACTGGGGAAGTCAGGACATTAAGGAATATTTCTCTATTCAACATTTGCTCAACATGTACGGTTGATTTAGTTTTAAAGTGAAATCATTAAAACAAATAAAACATTTTAAGGATAAAATATAGAACATTATGAAAAGCCATCGAACATTATTAAAGTTCCATGTGGGTGCTTTGCTGATAACCTGTGAGCAAAATGTCCTTTGTTTCTATCACAGACAAAGATAATGGATTTGATGGTGCAGTTTTTCTCCTTGGAATTTACTACAATATTCCTATTTTGAAAATTTGAAGAGAATGTTTAAAGTAAAATTAGTTCCAGAATCTGAATATGAACTAATTTTTAGGTTACCATCAGTATGCATTACAATGTTAAATAAATGTAGTTATACATTTTACCTGAATAAACTCCTTTCTGATCATGTCAAATTTGATATTTTCATGCACAGCTCGCGCTGTATTTGTTCGGTCGTAAGGTTCTGAAACAGAACATATAAAACAATTGTAAAATTGGAAACTATTGCTAATTTTAGCCATTCTACAAACTATCCTTATGTAAATTGACTGAACAATTAAAATGTTTCTTAATCTTACAATATTCTGGTGGAAAGTAGAACTTTGATGCCACATACAGTTGGATTAGACATTAATGACAATAGAATTACATTGTCACTTCTCTATCTAGAATAATAATAATCCTTTGTTATGCCATATCAAGTCATTGAAATGTCTCAAAGCGCTTCACAGAATATACAGTAAAGTGAATTGACTGTATATTTTGTGGGCATAACGCAGTAGCCAATTGCACATAGCAATGTCTCACAACAGTTGTGGATTGAGTGACAACATTTTTTTTTGGAGGGATTATTACCACCAGAAAGCAATCTGCTAATCGACTAACAACCAAGTTCCTACTTATTGCTAAGTAAACAGATTTACCATTTTAAATCACTTAAGACATTTCTTCCCTGAATATTTGTGGATCTTATATAATGATTAGTTTTAGAGCCTACACATCATCACTAAAGACTTTTTGTTTCTTAACAGCACATTTTAATAGAATTTACTATGTTCATAAATGATTGAAAGATTTCCATTACAATATGGGAAACAAAATGGGAAGAATTCTAGTCCAACATTTTTTGGCAACTTATGTTGCAATTGGAGGGATGAAGAGACAGAAAAAGAACGGGAGAGAAGAGTAAGCAAGTGCTGTGATAAGTGAGGCTATAGGCTCAAAAGTATTAAATATTCCTCACAAAATTTACTTTCAAGCTTTTGTAAATGCCAACATTTTGTTGCTTCTACAATTTGTCATACCTTCAACACAGATGTATTTGTTTTTCCATTCCATTTCATTGTTTTTGGACATCACTTTGGCTTCACGGACAGAAATTACTGAATTGTTCCAGCTGAAGGAGGTAAAGTTTGGTATGAATATTTCTACTGTCAAATGGAACCAAACAATAAAAATAATCCTTGCATTTGATATAGAGCTTTATCACGTCATTGAGAAGTCTCAAAGTGCATCACAAATAATGATTTACAAGTTCAACTCAGGTTTATTCATTCATCAATGCTTTGTCACTAAGAGTCCGTAGCACAATTATTTTAAAAAGGTGAGGGATAAACTATTACTGTACTATTGTTTTGTTTTTAATAATGGGACTGGTTTGACTCGAGGTCCAATATTCTATTAATAATTTTGTTTCCATTTGTGCATTATCAGATTATTGAAGTGTCTCAAAGTGCTGTGCAGGATTTACTGTAGTGTGATGCATATTTTATAAGTGAACACAAAAGTCAATTTTTGCACAGCAATGTCCCACAGACAGCCATGAAGTGAATGACCAATTTTATCTGGTGGATTGTTGGCCAAAAATGTTTTAAAAAGAGAAAAAATTCCCTTCTCTTTTCAAGTAATCACAATCCATGGAATCTTTAATGGCAACTCCGACAATGCTGCGCTGAAGTGTCAACCTAACTGTGAGCTCAATGTCGGGTTTGAACCCGTATCCTTCCGACTCAAGTAAGTGCTACCAACTGAGTTGTTTGACTTCTTAAGTAGACCAAACATTCTCTTCCGTAAAAACCCCAGATATTTATAACGTAAAGATGTCCCCGATGGCTAGACTCGGGAAAAGGGGAGCCTTGTTATAACATTGTGTTTGGGATCCACAAAATTCCAATCTGCATTCCCATGAGGTGCAACAGCTGGTTTCGTTGTGCATGTCCAGTATAGCTCACCCCCTACGTCACTTTCTGTTTGTTAAATATGTGGAAATTAGGAAGTAATATCGTTGAGACCCAATTACCTGGAAGTTGGACCCAGCTGACTTGTGGAAAGCAACCACACACTCGCAGTTAATGGGGATGTTACAACTCCATTATAACCAAATTTGCACTATAAAGAAGTGCTTTATAATGGGGCTGCATTGTAAAATGCTTTTCTGTTTTATATATGGGTCATAACTGCAAGTGGGTCCATTTGTTTCAGGCACGGCTGTAAACCTTCAGAGAGAAAAAATTTTGCAGACCTGGCCCTTTTTCACTGCTTGCAACCAAACCTCTGAGTACAGTAGAAATCAATGACAAAAACAGATTCCTAATTTATAAACATTGCAACAAAATTATTAGCCTATAAATTTCTCTCTCCTCCAATTGAGCAATAGACTCAGACAAATATTTATGCATACTCTTACTATAAAACAGCAAAATATTAAGACCACAATTTTGGCTCCAATGCCCATCTCAATCGCAGGCCTCTATGTCCAAAGCCCACTTGCTGCCTTCACTCATTTCTTTGTAACTAGAGACCTGTACCTGCCATATTGACACAGCAAAATGTGGCAGCCAGATCAATTAAGTTTTCAGTTTAGACCTAAAGGATGAACACAGTAATGCAATTGCTTTAGAGTTTAGCACAACAGATACTGAGTGGAAGAGGAGTTTTTTTTTAAAAAAAGCAATATTTAAAAAATACTGGCCTTACTATTTTGTCAGACATGAAAATGTATTTGATTTGTACTATTTTGTCACTAACATCTGTACAAGCTTGCATTTAATATTATCAATTAAAAAAGTAGGAAGGCTGCAGAATGATTATGAAGAGGGGCTTCAAAACCATTTGTTAAAGATAGTAATGTTGTGCAAAAATCAGTAAAGTTGAGAAGACAGATAATCTTCTCATTTCCTTGACTGTTCCGTGTGCACGAGTAATAGTACAAAGCTTACTGCATTTTTGTTTACTGTTACTGTGCCATACTGTGCAGTAAGACTAATTTTACATTTGGATTTAGTTGTATTTCATGGTTTGATCCTGTTAGATTTGTGGATACCTAGTAATGCACGAATACAGCAAAATTAAATGGGTGATATTTTTCTTATTTACAGTATGCATCTTGCATACTTGGGCTGCTCCCTGCTCCACTGTGATAAACCTATGCTCTTGGAAACTCCAGGAAAAAAAACAACTTTGTCCTATTTACTTTTCTCACTTCTATGGTGATGCATCAAGACCTTCAGCTAAGCTTATTGACTCCAAATCTGACCTGGAGTTAATTAACTTTTGACGTTTACCAATCATCATACAGCTATGTAATCATGCAAGGATTCTTCCTATTCCTTTAACCGGATAAATTCACAATTTGCCAACATTCACTCTCACTCCCTACACATCAGTAAATGATCATTTAAAAACAGTGATTGTTGCAATGTCAAACCCAACCTTATTTTCAAAGAAATAAATGGTTTACACACAATACAAAAGTAACAATTACAGGAACAAAAACAACAAATTACATTTGTATAACTCCTTTCACGACAGGAGGAAACAATATGAAATGAGGCAGAAAAAGCTCAGCATGGGTCAGGCTCTTAATGGCTAAGCCAAAATTCTGCACAATCTTAAATTTCAGACTTCAGATCTACTACTGCCTATGCCACTACTCAAATGCTTCACCTTAAAATTAATACAATGTTCCACAAACAATGAATGACCAAGAATCAAGAAGTCCCGCCCCTCACCTCTGAACATTCGCATGAATGTAGGTAAGTCCGTGTTTGATAGGCAGTGTTTTCATTTTTTCTTGATATAAAGGTCAACCATTTGGCATAAATTTGGCATAACCATTTGATCACCACTGCAATAGAATATGAGATCAAAGTCTCCATGTAGGGCCTGAACTCACAACCTTCTGACTCAAGAGGCGAGAGTGCTACTGAGTGAACCAGGCTGAAAATTAATGCATTGACTTGTGCAGGATTTTGCAGATATATTTAATGTGGCTTGCTCCTGTATTTGTCTCCATACCCTCGTGAACTCTGGTTGTGTTTGGACTCTATTAGAGGGTTCCCTAGTTGAAGCGATTGTTTCAAAAGTGCCCGATTCTGTAGTCTGTCAGCTCAGTGCTTTCAAAATCAGTGATCCCAACACATATACAGGATCATGTGTTAGCATAGAACTGCAGCAGAAATGACTGCCAACATGCTGTAACTGTGCATCTCCATGCCACTGATGGCAAACATGTCTTCCAAGTTGCTCACTGAACTGCATGAGCATTAAGTACTAGAAGTCTCAAAATCCTTCAGTCGCAGTTGTTTGTAATTATTCTCTCCAAGACAGTTGAGTAACTACAAAAACTTTATGTAGGGACCCTCATTCAGGGAAGTGTCCCAGAGCACTTAAAAATAAGATTTACTGCATCTTGGGGGGTTTTATCTCATTGTGTCCAATAATAGTAGTGTGAAGATTCATGAGAGATGCTCCTACCGTGTCTACGGCTTATGTAACTAAAGTGTTCACATTCCATTCATTGTAAGGTAAATGACAAGAGTATATCACAGTCATATTACATTTCAGTGTTGTCTATTGCTGTGCAATTCAATTGAGACACATGGCCTGCTGGATGACTGCCCAATACCAGTTGGTCCCTTACCACCACCCTTGTTCACTTTGTATTTCCTGAGCAGTATCTACAATTTGCACAGTGTAGATCACAGTGCTTGTGTTTGCTTCAGGGCAATTCATGCTCGGGTACAGTAGATATTCAACTGGGTTTTCCTTATTCTGCAAAACAAGCAGATGATACACGTGTGTATCAATACAAAAGCAGCGTTACAAGTACTATGATGTGCTTGTGTAGAGTCTACACAGATATATTCTTGAATCTTACAAATCATGATACCTACCACATGTTTTCTATTCCAGGGTAACAGTTTCCATGGCTTCCACAAAATTCACTGCTGTCTCCTTATATTGTGCAAGTAGTTTCATGTCTGAAGTCAACCTGCTGCGTTGTACATCAATTTTGCTTTTGAACTAGGAGCAATGGTGTTTCAAGACATGATTTGGCTGAAGCAAAATCCTTCTTGTAGTACATGAACTCTCTTCCCATAGCATGTCCGTTGTAATCTGCACAACCATGCTACTTTCACAGTTATTATCTGCCCTTCTATTTTACTCCTAACATTTCTCTGTCAGTGCAGATTTTCAAAACACCTAATTTACTCCAACTTTTTCTAGTGTTCATAAATATCTTGTGCTTCTGCTGAACATCACAATTAATGCTGGCCACTGGCATTTTTCTTGACATTGTGCAACATCTTCCAAGTCTCCTGCCAGATTCTCAGTCGCTGACGCAGCCTTAATGTAGTTCGTCATGTACTGGCATACTTCCCACCTGGTTTGCAAATGTGGAGAAATGATCTTACCCAACAAAAAGGTCATTGCTCCACTCCATTTCTATGTACACAAGCACTGCAAGGCCACCTCTAAAAACTAGTTTTGCAGGTTCTCTGTTGAGCAATTTTCTTCATAAATAATAATCGATGCATTTGATATGGCATCGATAATGTTGAGTATGTCTCAAAGCACTTCACAAGGTTTCTGTAAAGTGTAATGATGGTGTTTTTCCAGTCGAATGTTGCAGCCATTATGCATACATTAATAATAATTTGATATTGCACCTTATCACATCCTCAAGATGAATTCATAGTATAAAGTAGATTGACAGTATATTTAGTGGGCAAAACACCCACAGCCAGGAAGTGAATGATCAGTTATCGGGAAGATTTATTGACCAGGACATGGGAGAAATTCCTTTCTCTTTTTGAATAGTGCCATGGGACCTGAACAGGCAGATGGGACCACAGTTTAACATCTCATTTAAGGAATAGCACTCTATGACAATGCAGCTCTTCCCCAGCACTGCACTGGAGTGTCTGCATAGCCAATAAGTTTAAAGCCCTGATGTGGGTTTGAACCTTCTGATCCAGAGGCAAGAGTGCTGCCGGAAAATAGGCATTGAAATCTGGCTCCTCACCTAGCTATTTTCATGGACTTTTAGCTTTCCATACAACTCAATTAGCTCATTATCCGAAGTTTATTGCTGGTGCAGCTAGGTTTGCATTAACACTAGAAAAATGTAATTTATCACAGCACCTAGGAACACTACAGTTCATGCAATTTCAGTAGTGTTCCACTGAAAAATTCATTATTCATGCTTCTATGAAAATGGGAATTACGTGATTTCCACAGCAGAGAGAGGTACAAGGATACTATTTCGTAATGAATGGTTTTGATATATCTTATATAAGCTGGTAGCATTGGGAGGTGATTGATCTCATAAGCCAGTTTACAACTCCTTAAATATGCAAACAGAGTATGTAAAAAATAAATTGCCGATAATTGGTCACAATTGAACAGCAGTCAGATTTGGTAACCCTATGATCTTACCAACTTCACACAAACTGCAGTTAAGCATAATGCTCAAAGATCAGATACTCCTGGGGCATTGAAGTGCCTGGTATGATTCTTGAGCCTTGCATCAGAAATTCAAAGCAAACCGCTATAATTAGGATCCAAACAGTGGTAACAACAGTGAGCTGCAAGTGCTACAGTAAGAAAAAAATGTTAAAGATTGTACAAAAAGGAAGTTCAGGTTTTAAAATATTAATACATAATTCCAGATAGATTCAAACGTACCAAAAACATTCCATCTAAAACAAAGAGTTACATACTTAAATTCTGTAGCATAGTATTGTAGAAAGCCCACGAGGAGGTCTCCCAAGTTTGAACTATTTAGTGAAAGATAAGGACTGATTTTGCTTCCTCCTTGGTGCACAAGATGCAACTGCATAGTGGGGTCGAAACACTCCTATTAAAAAAAAGTTGTAAAAATGAATTAAATTACTGGATATAATTTTTGTACAATGTAAAATAAATTACTTTCCTGAATTGATATGTTTACTGGCAACATAGCAAATCAGTATAATGTTACAAACAAAATGCATTCTTCGAGGTGAATAAAGCTTAAAGTTCACACTTAATACATTTTAAGGCTCAATCTGCATAGGTGCTTGCCGAGAAGATAAAAATATTCACTTCCCAAGATCCAGACAATTGACGACTAATAAGATCAACTGATTTCAGAACAATAGCTTTTTAGATATTTCATGAAAGAACAATTCCATTTTGCATTTCCCCATTCATTTCAAGAACATTCTCTTTTAGCAATGCTTTAGAAACAACAGAAATAGTTTTGGATGTTGAGTACTGAGCAGAGACCCCCTCACATGATGCAAAAACTAGTAAAGTTTCTTTTAAACTATTTGAACTGTTAATTACTTTGCATGAAAAAAGGAACACATTATATACTAAATTTATTTTTAACCACCACTTCACATTTACTATGAAAGGGGTGAAGTGTTTCTTCTGTTATACACAAAGTAATTTTCAATTCAGGATTTGGTCATGCCATTTTAATGACTTCATCAATAAAGAAGTCATGTGGTTGGAAACCATACGAGGCAAATCTAATGTAATGTATGAGAACAGACTATGCAAGTATTGGGAATGATTTATCCCCTGTCTTGACAACATATTCATGGTTGACTTTACATCAATTTCATTGTATATTTGGAATATCCTCGTATTTTGTGACTGTTACAATGGTTACTAAATCAATTACTACATGCACTAAAACAAATTCAAGATGATCATAAGGTAGGCCGATTAAGAGAGAATTAACTGTTCTGCATCAGTGAAAATCAGTGAAATGCATTTTCTGTTCTACGTACGCAACAATGATATTTCTTGTGGGGCGGGGGAAGAAAGTGTCATTTATTTTTAATATGTTCATCAAAGTGAGAGACATCAGTGCAAGAGAAATCAAAAACTTGTCGCTCAGGTTTTGGTGCAGTATATGCCAGCTATACAGCAAAGTCCCGCTCATTCTGCCCCAAAATATGTATTAACCACAACCGCCAAGCAGGATCCTAATCTACTATCACTGTTCATTTTTCTACAAGACTCCAGCCACTCTATTTGACCTTTCCGAGTAAGATTGGCAATGCATATTATTTTGTATTGAATTTATGGGAAGTCCACTGGGTGGAGACTGCCTGACTGCCCATCCTTAACTAATGTTATAGTCATCAAGAGGAGACTTTCATCCCATCTTTCAGCAATCAAGGCTGTATTTTAACTCAGGTCCCAGAGGTGAAAACGTGTTCTAACCCATTAAGCAAAATTAAGATAATTCAATTTTCTTTATAACAGATTCTGCAGTAACTGTAATTAAGCTTTTTTTTGACAATCACCATAAACTGGCAATCAAAATGGACAGATCTGCAGTAAGGAAAACCATTATTGTTCATTTAAAATCAAGTCAATAATACTAACATTCACAGACTTGTATACACTTACTGATTCTGAAACAACATGAAATGTAGCTTGTAAATAGAGTCAAGTGTCAGTAATAACAATCCTTGCATGTGATATAATGCCTTCCACATGACCAGTTGACAAGACACTGCTTCAAACCATTTGACAAATTTGCCTTGAGATTCAGGAGAATGACTTAGATTGATTCAACTGACTATTCTGTCCTTTATAAAGGCATCCTCTAAATTCAAAGTAACTTGTCCAACATTGACAATTTACAGGCGCAAACCTTGATGGTATTACTATGTGCAAAGGTCACCAAACACTATGAAGGATAAAAGTATATGAGATCTGTAAAACAAATCTCAGATAATTTTAAATTGTGGTATTGAACATGCATCCTATGAGGATAGGTTGAGTAAACCAGGTCTATATTCTCTAGAATATAGAAGAATTAGGGGTGATCTTATAGAAACATACAAGATTCTTATGGGGCTTGACAGAGTAGACAGTGCAAGACTATTTTCCCTGGTAGGAGAATCTACAACTAGGGGTCACAGTCTTAAGATTAAGGTACAGCCCTTTCGAACAGAGTTGAGAAAACACTTCTTCACTCAAAGGGTAGTGAATTTATGGAATTCTCTACCCCAGAAGGCTGTAGATGCTCAGTCCTTGAACATGTTCAAGACTGAGATCGATAGGTTTCTAAAGAACAGAGGGATTAAGGGATATGGGGATAAGGCGGGCAGATGGAGTTAGGTTAGAAGATCAGCCATGATCTTATTGGATGGCGGGGCAGCCGAATGACCTATTTCTGCTCCTAATTCCTACGTATTGAGATATTTGCTTTAGACAACCACAATTATGGGTTTGAATTAAGTATATATCTACTCTTCCATTACTCTAAGTTTCCAATTTATACTTAGGTTTATATACGAATTTGTTGTTTAAAAAAAATTAAATATAAAACATATAGGTGTGGTGAATTGCATTCTGTGTATTCAAAATGTAATTTGTTTTACTACCCATATAGTAGGAACAATACTTACTGGGTGCTCTTTCTGGAGAGATGGAATGACAGGTTCAGGTAGAGCTAAAACAAAGACAAAGAAGATCACAAAAATGTAGAACCAGCTTCAAACTTTGTATTTTCTCACACCAGCGGGTTTCAAGCCAACAATTTAATTAATTAATTAGATTAATTAATGAATGAATACTAAATTGTATTCATGGAGATATCACCAGAAACATGCGTTTTTTTTAAGAAAATTGTGGCTCCACTGGGTGAAGAACTGGCATATCCACTACTTCCCACAACAAGTTCCTAATGTAACCAAGCCCACCAGAATTTGAAATCAATACATTACAGGCCAGATCTGGTGCTTAACCAACCGAATTACACAGGATATCACTATTGTATAACGTTTTCAGCATCAAATACTACTTAAATTGAGCAAGTCTTCTCTAATAATGTGCCTTAAATGTGCCCAAACACTAAAACACCCCATGATGTATTACAGCAACATTTTATCTTGCATCAGGTCTGTGAGATATTGCTTGTTGATGCCAAATGATGAATTTTTTGTGTTTTAAGTTTACTGCATGACCCACTGATGATTGGAGTGGTCTGAAATTGTCCAATCTCATTTCATTTAAACCCCTGAACCGTCTGAATGAAAAGACTTTCATCCCATCAGTCAGGCTGGATTAAAATTTATACCCAAGAGATGAAATGACATGAAATGCATTACACAATTCCCATGAGAGAAGTTTTCAGCTATTGAGATAACTTCAGACTATTCCCTGTATACACATTTTGCAGAAGAGCCAAGGGTAAGGGGACTTTGTTAAATTTGACCATCTTTTTGAATCATTGTAATAATTTGGCTCATACTTCACAGAATGAAATGCTTCCCTGCATTTCAACAGGAACCTTTAATCCAAGTTTCAAGAAATTTATGTTTATGGACATTTCAAAACTAAAGTAATTTGATGAAGGGAATTGCATACAACAAATAGAGACATAATAGCATAGTGACCATGCTGTGACATAACCCATTTTTAATGCAAAGTACAAAGGGAGTTTTAAAAGCTTATTTCCTGTTACTTTCCTTATATGAGAGTATTCCAATTCTGTTCTGGTAATTTTGTTCCCTCTTAACATCAGACAACCAATAAAGAGTTTAGAAAATTAACCTATAATTCTTCAATAGGGGTAATAAGTGCTTGCATTTTAAATAACGTCTTATCACGTCAAAATATCTCCAAGTACCTTACACAATAAGTTATTTTAAATAATGTAGTAGCATATATAGTAAATAATGTACTATATTTCATAATATTTACAAAATATGTGAGATACCAAGGCAGAATATTCCAACACAAATTACCCTTTCTTTCTCTTCCCCCACCCGTTTCCCAAAAAGACTGAACTGGTTTCAGATTCCTAGATCATACCCATAACCATATACATGGATGCACACACACACACACACACACACACGCACAAGAATGTTAATTTCAGATATGATGCACATTTGAAAATCACTAATATTGAAAATTACCTATTCTTTGTGGAAAAAAGGATAATGCAGGAATTCTGATAATACATTTTGCTAACCAGAGAAATCAGCCCTTTTAGTGTCACCTACATTGTGTGGGATGTATAACAATTTCATAATTGATGCTTGTACTGCTACCCCTCCTATTCAAACGGACAAGCAGACCCAACATTGCCATTTACAGGTTTAGTGGATACACTGTTTAGAGTTTAGTTTTATTCCCCTAATTATTGACTGTAGATGGAACAAAGAACTCACCTGATAAATTCTACATTGTTATTAACAATTCAGGAAATGGCTTCCGATTTAATAATAATAATCCCTGCATTTGATATAACGCCTTATCACTTCTTCGAGACGACTCAAAGCGCTTCACAGAATATACTGTAATGTGAATAGACATTTTGTGGGCAAAACACAGTAGCCAATTGCACACAGCAACGTCCCACAAACAGTCATGGATTGAAGTGACTTATTTATTATTTTTTTAATGGAATTATTACCCCCGGAAAAGTGGTCCGTCAATCGACTAACGACCAAGTTCCTTCTTACTGCCAGGTAAACAGAGGCACGTGGAGTAAGGAAAGTTGTCCAACATTTCGCCCTACCGGGAATTGAACCCAGGTCTCTCGCTTGTGAGGCGAGTGCTCTAATCACTCAGCTACAGTACTCCACTGCTTTAGTTATACACAGAAAACAAATACATACGCACAGGAGTTCAAAAGGGTGTAAATTTATAATTATACATAAAAAGACTTACTTTGTAGATAGTGCAATACCATCAGTACCAGGGAGTAACTACTCAATGTACCACGACTAGCATCATTTATCCCATGATGACATGCCCACTTTTTCACAACCAGCACCAGGGGACGAACACGACTCTCAACTGCATAAAACAAACAATATCATTAGGGAAATATACTGAGAGATAACCGGGATTATTTAGTGACTAAAGGCAATTCCTCTACACAACACTAGCTGTACCCATTGCAGCTACACTTGCAACCAAAGGATCCAATATGGAATGTAGATTGACAGACAGACATTTCATCTTTATCTATACTCATCTGGGAAGACTCCTGTGGGAGGATTTTGTTCTTCAGTTTCATTTAATGGGCCTTCTCTCTCTTGTCTAGCATTTTTACTCATCCTTGAAAGGTTTGATTTTCACTTAGGCATCTTTATAATGATAAATATAAATGTATAATTTATAATCACTGGGACATCCTCCCGACGTGAAAGGCGCTTTAAAAATGTAATTTTGTTGTTGTTGCCACGGCTTAGCTTTGTCTGTGTTCGTTATTTTGTTCCCACCACTTGGCTACTTGCATGCTCTTTGTCGCAGGATGCCACAGCGCCACGGTCAGCTGGCGTGGCCACCAGGTGCAACTGTAGTGTGTGCGTACATACGCAGGTGCTCTGTGACGCACAATGCCACAGCGCCACTTTGACTTGACGGCCACCAGATGTAACAGCAGCGAAAAAAGCAAAACTGAAATAACTCAAAACTATAGGAGCTACCCAAAAACAAAATATGCCCATGTCACTCCCAGGTACAAGATCTTTCCCATGAGGTATAAATCATGTCTCTACATCAATCGGTTATTGAGATCCTTCTTGAAGCGTAGACAGACATTCTTGTTTTATTAGTATATTATAATAAAAAAGATAGACAGACAGATTAGCTGTACCCGTTGCAGCTACGCTTGCAACCAGTTTCATTTAACCGGCCTTCTCTCTTTCGTCTGTCATTTTTATTTGTCGTTGAAAGGCTTGATCTTCGCTTCTTAGGCATCTTTATCCCTTAAGATTAAGAAAATGTGCTATTGAACTCGTTAGCATCCCTTGTTCACCATATTTGCACACATATCCTGTTGGGAGCACTCCTGGTTGGGAGGACTCCATACATGCATGATGAGCTTGTTTAGGTCACAATAGGAGGTCACGCAAAAAAATTCGGCCCATGACACTCTCCAATGCAAGACCTTTCTGATGAAGTATAAATCATGTCTCTACGTCAATCAGTTATTGTTTTATTGGCGGACACACATTTTGACTTTATTAGTATATAAGATTCCTTTCATCTCTCCACACACATCCCATGTAAACATACTGAGTTGGTATTTATTCGTTCCTTCTTATAGAAGCAAACCAGTTTACTCGTCCCTACCTGTGACCTCCTAACCCCCTACCAACCTGTCCGTTCTTTCCGTTCAGCGGGCTCCGGCATGCTTCACGTCCCCCGCCTTGCCCGCCCCACCATTGGCGGGCAGGCCTTCAGCCTCTCTACCCCCATCCTCTGGAACTCCATCCCACAGTCCCTCCACCTCACCCGCTCCTTTGCCTCCTGCAAGACCCATATCAAGACCCTCCTCTTCACCTGTGCCTTCGATCACCCTCATACCCCTACCCTCCCCACGCTTCACCCCTCCTGATCCCAACCACCAGCTCAAATGCGGATCCCTGAATGTACAGCGCTTTGGGACGTTCTCCTGACGTGAAAGGCTCTATACAAATGTAATTTGTTGTTACTCAAAAAAAGGGTGACAGTATAAATTTGTGAATTTCACGTCTGTAGTATGAATTATTTCTAAATTAACATCTTAATTTTTAACATCTTAAAATTTGCTTAATTTTGAACTTTAAACTGTACAAAATGTGTAGATATGACAATTTGTAGTTAGAGCAGAAAACATAATGCAAACAAATCTACAAAGCCTAGAGTGGCATTCACAAGTGGCATTGGTAGCAACTTACATCCCTAGATGGTCATTTTTGCTAACTTTTTCAGCCTTGAATGGGATTGTATATGCAAATCAAAACACACATTACAGTGTTTTGAAAACCCCAATACTTTCAGAGTACCAACATCTGAAAAAAATGAAAACCTCAGCTATGCACAGATTTTAGAATGGGCCATACAAGATCAATAACTCTTATGACCTGACAGTTACATTAAAACTTGTTCAGGGGAACAACACTGACCTCTAGTGTGCAACACTAATCTTACTTAGGACTCGTAACACAACATAAAAACAGCAGTCTTTCTCAATTCTCTTTATACCACCACCATCTTCCAATTCCAGCTAGGAAACTGGAATGCCTGGTTGTAGAAATTAGTCATTTACCATCAATGACATTTTAAGACTAGTTAATTGGAGGCACAATCTAAAAGCCCAAATATCAGATTATAGAAAGTTTACAGCATAGAAGGAAGGCGATTCAGGCAGTCATGTCCGTTCTGGTGTGTTGGTACTCCTTCAGTGGATATATCAGCTCTACTCCCAATTTCCTGCTTTGTCCCAATACCCTGTGATATTTTCCCCCCAAGTATTTATTCAATTCCCTATTAAATGCTGTTGCATACTCAGTTTTAAAAGCCATTTATGATATTGGAGAGAAATATCTGGAAGGCACAATGAACATCTTATTACATTCAACTTAATGGACAAAGGATTTCCAGCTGGCAAAGCAAGCAAGATTCAGAGCAAGCAATGCTGTAACTCAAACTCATAATGTCCTCATTGGCAGTTGAGTGCGCCTCTAATTCTACCAGACCAGGTTTACTTTGATCAGTTGTAATCAAGTGCAAGACATATGGAACTTTAGGAAAAGCATATTTGAATATAGCACATCTCTATCTACATCATAAAATGGTGTACAACAGTAACAATTTACATTTATATAGCACCTTTCACTTTAGAAGGATACCTCAAAACGCTTCATGAACTGATAGAGCGGACAAGTTGCTTTTTTGGGGGCGCAGGGGCAGGTAGACTAGAAGTGCAGTCAAAAAGATCAGTCTTAAAGTAGGACTTTTTAAAATGGTGGGGAGGGAGGAGGTTCAACAGTTGGGTCACCCGTTCAAGGACAATAATGAGTACAATGCCTAGAAGTCACCCTTAATGCACAAATGCTGAAAACTCAGCTGAACTAATTGAAATCCTAAATAGCTGCTTAAGTTGATACATTTTACTTTACCATCTTATTCAGTCAACTTTAAGAACTACCAAAATATTTTACTCAAAACATTCCATAAAAACAACTTAACCAAAAACAACTTGCATTTATACAGCGCCCCTCACTCAGGGTAGCGTCCCAGAGGGTTTGACAGCAGCAGAGCGAAACCTTGGGCAAGTTTCCTTACTCCACACGCCTAATAATGATCCCTCCAAAACAAAGCAATAATAAATTGGTCATTTTCAAGCCACGACTGTTTGTGGGACACTGCTGTGCGCATTTGGCTGCCTCGTTGCGCCCACAAATATACAGCCAATTCACTTTACAGTATATTCTGTGAAGCGCTTTGAGACGTCTAGAAGACGTGAAAAGCGCTATATCAAATGCAAAGATTATTATTATTATTGTTGTTATGATGCTAAGCCGGGGGAGCTGACCATAGGCACGGTCAAAGAGGAAAGTCTTCAGGCGCGATCTGAAGATGAAGAAGGAGGGGGCAAGGCAGGGAGGTACAGAAAGAGTGTTCCAAAGTTTCTAATTTTTTTGACTATAAATTAAATTCTAATTAAATTTGTTGCTTAATTTTAACCAAATAAATCTTATTGATTTGATATTTTAAACCTTTGAGAAGACAGGATAAATTTTGTTAGGATAAAAAAATTCCAGATGTATTAAAAAGAAAGGTTATTGTTGCACATTTTAGAGAATTGATAAAAAAAAGGAAAACTTATATACAAAAAGTATGGGAATGAGGTAGGAAATAGGACGACTATATTTGGGACACTGCTGTGCTCAATTGGCTGCCAGGTTTCGCACACAAAATACAGTCAATTCACTTCACAGTATATTCTGTGAAGCACTTTGAGATGTCTCGAAGACTTGATAAGGCGCAGTATCAAATGCAAGATTCTATGATAAAGTTACCCTTCAAGACCTGTCTCAAGCCCATCCTCTTTGACCGTGGCTTTGGTCACCTTCCTACCCCTACCCTCCAACCCTCCTGATCCCAATCCCCAGCGGGGGTCCTCCCAACATGAAAGGCCTACACAAATGTAAACAAACTGCAAAATACTGCAGATGCTAGAAATCTGAAACAAAAACAGAAGTCGCTAGGAACACTCAGCAGGTCAGGCAGCATCTGTGGAGAAAGGAAAGTGAGTCAACGTTTCAGGTGTCCTTCAAGACCTTCAAGGCATGTTGGGAGGGAGAGGCTTTTAAGGGCTAACAGTGGGGGGAGGCAGGGCAAGGAAGACAAAAGAGAAAATGGGGTAGAGGACAGGGGATGATGGGTTAAAGAGGTGTTAATGATGCGAAACAAAGAGGGGGATTGCAACAAAACAGGGGAATAAAGGTGTTAATAATGCAAGAATTTTGCATTCCCCAGTTCTGACGAAGGCCCGAAACATTGACTCACTTTCTATTCTCCATAAATCCTGCTAACCTGTTGAGTGTTCTCAGCAACTTCTGTTTTTGCTATACAAATGTAATTTGGCATTGGTATGGTATTGTGATCAATAAACCCAGTGGGAAACAACCCTAATTCAGTCACAACAAGCTGCATGGCCTCCGGTGCTATAAACATTTAATGATTGAATATCTTACATATCCTAACATATTCGCCCACAAAATATACAGTTAATTCACTTTACAGTATATTCCATGAAGCGCTTTGAGATGTCGCGAAGACATGAAAGCAACAAAATTACATTTGTATAACACCTTTCATGTCGGGAGGACGTCCCAAGGAGCTGGACAATTCAGTGTTTCGGGGGGGAGGAGGGTGACCGAAGGCACAGTCGAGGGGGTGTTGAGACGGGTCTTAAGGGAGGGGGATGAGGTGGATATATCAAAGGCGCTATATCTAATGCAAGGATTATTATTATTATCCTATGTTTGGTACTGATTTGACTGCGGAACAGGACTACAATGTCTAGAAGTACAGTACTTACTATATATTTTTTTTACTTACTATATGCATAGGTCCTCAGTAGAAATGTGTTTCTTATTCCTACAACATTGTTTACATTCAAGTCACATTCCACACCACTGCAAACACAAAATATAACATTAGTACCAATGTACATAAATAGATTTTAGAAAACATTCAGCATTCATTAATTTTGCCTAGCTAAATATGCTGCAGTCCTTTAATAAAAAATATATTACAGAGTACTTCTGTAGTTAATAAAAACATTTGCTCACTGTAGATGAATGATGCATCTTCCATTCCCCAAAATCTTTTTCGAAAAATTAAATTCTCAAATTCTATGCCAGACACTGACTGAGAACTATCAGGCTTAATTTGTACTCAATAATACAGTTTAACAAAGTGTGTTACTAGACAATGGACAATGAAAAATAATATATTTTATTAAGTACTATTCCAGATTTATTTGAAAAGATCTAAAATAGTGCTATATTTTGATGAAATGAAAATAGCAACTAAATCAGTCATATAGTGTGTGTGGACATTGGTTTTGGAGGCTGTAATTGTAAAATAAAGTACAGCCTAAATCAATACATTTGATCCAGAATTATCCAGTCTACCGCAAACATAACAGCATTCAGTTACTTACTCCAGCGTTTTGCACAATTAAAATCTGCTTCCAGATTTCAATTCCCATGTTACAAATATAGATTGATAATTAAAGGTCATCTTCAATTATTACCAACCAAATGAGATAAGTTATTTTTCCAGATTTTTTTTTATTAGCAATTTCACTCAATCGTGAGTGAACAAAGATGAATATTTTTGGTTTACTACATACACTGCAAAAGGTTTTTAAAAAAATGTTTTTCAAATTAATTATTGTAACAAACTTTCCAAATACATCTCTATGGAATGATTGTCTTAAATCTTTCATATGATAGATTACACTGAAAAATATTTGCCGGTATTCAAACACCCACTTACCTAACTTTATCCCTGAATTTTACTATTGGCACTTTTGCTCGGATCAGTTGAGGTCTCTCAATGTAAGCTGTTAAGAAAAAAAACAAAGTTCAATTTGTCTTCAGAAATACATTCTCAAAATCTACAATGAAGCCTAAAATGACCTTATTTTAACCACAAGTCCACATATTTAAAACAAATATAGGTTTTAAATATATATAGAAAACACAACTCCAGGCATTAAGAAGCTACAGGATACCTTGCTTGTTTGCCGACTTTTCAGTGTTTAATCATAATCAGGAGTCATCTGAGACTTCTATTCCCTCTAAACCACTACTATCAGCTGAGTTTCCACCACTCTCTCTCATGCTTATGAGGTTATTAAGCACATGATTTAGTAGCACAACACCAATCTCATGCACTGCTTTCAGAATGTGCACAACAGAATTTTTTTTGGCAGTAGCGAAAAATTAAGTGTTTATACCTTTGTACAGTGTAGGATTAGAGTCAGAAAAAGAAAGATGATCATTGAGGCAGAAAAAGAACAGAGAAATCTACTGTACTTTACGAATGACTTACATAGTCTGTAAAAAAGTTGTTGGATTAAAGTGAGTATGTGAAGTGCTTCGGACTTTTGATTTATCTGAAGGAACAAAAAGATACAAAAACATTTTTCAATAAGTCAAGTGGCAAAATATTAAGTGCAAATCCATCTTCTTAAAATAAACAAACCTGTTTGTCTATTAGCACGAGGCAGAGATCTGCATCACTACTGCGAGTACCAAATCCATTCAGCGAAGAACCAACCAAATACAACTTTGTCTCTGAAACACAAAAAGGTCTAAATTTATTATACTATCCATCTATGGGATCAGACCTTGAGTAGGATCCAAGGTGAATGTGCCTGGCAATGAAATATTGGAACCGAGTTCATCCTCTCTGGCAGCCTTGGTAGGCTAGTTCCTGAGTCAGACAGATCCACAGTACTCCAAGGCACTGTTAATGACAGAATAGCCAGCCTGGCTCATCAACAGGAGTTAAGGGGCAGATCAGTCACGGGTGGGGGGACAGGGATTCTTCTCACTTGGCTCTGTTAACTCTGCAAGCTTCAACCCTAACGGACAGAGTTGTCCGAGTTGGACAGGCAGCAAAAAGCTTACCAGATACGTGCTCATTCATGTATGTTATATCGAAACCCAAACAAAAAAAATTCTACAGTGTAATCAGGATTCGGAAAATGTAGCATTTATTCACTTCTGAATGTAAACTGCTCTGAGGTATTATCTGCATGTAAAGGGTTCATTCAGATATATTATTGAGGCTAGATACAAAATCAAAGACATTATGGAAAAATTAATTTGTTAAAAATACAAGCATATGTGCAAAGCTGAAGTAAAATAAACTGTTTTAAAAAAAACATAAGCTTGGAAAAAGAAAAGGAACAAAAAGATTATTTTGGGTGCAAAAGGGAAGTTTACCAACACAGTTGAAATAACAGCTGGTGATTCCAGATTACTGGCTATATAACACACACACACAAAATGAATTTCCATGTGTAGGTGGGATGTATAGAATTCTTAATTTGCTTTGTATACTCTTAAACATGGTGATGGGTGAGAGACAGAAACCCCCCCCCACAATGTTGGGCCCTGTCAGTTTTGACAGGAAGAGAGATTGGAGGGGGGGGGAGGAGTATTTTTTAAACTACTTTTGCATTCAAACAATGTTTTTTTAAACAATCTGTTGGAAGCATTCTATACTTTTTTTTCAGATTTACTCATTACAAATTCTTTACCCAGGTATCCCGAAGTTCAAGTAAACGTTGCACCAAGTAGAACTGTTGTAAGATTCTACTAAACGAGTGGTGTCTGAGCAGACAATGCAGCAGGAGCTAATAATGAAACTTACGTGGAAAGATTCGTTGAATTTCCCGCTGAAGTTCTGCGCGACATAGATCCTTTTTATCCAGATCAATTGACTGTTGTTGACAGTCATGGAAGAGTTCCAAAATCTGTTGACTCAGCTACAAACAAGAAATCTTAAAATATTAAACTGCACCATTAGGATCCAATTCTCAATTATCATTAAAATGGGTCCTCTCCTACTGCCCTCTCCTTCCTGGACCCTCCCACAGCCTCCCTCTGCTCCAGCATGAGCATTCTCCACCAGGCTCACCATGGCACTCGGCGATCTTTGTCCCAGAGCAACCACCCCGACTGCCACATCCCCCACTTAGTCCGCAAGGCCCACCTCTCCCACCTCCGACAGGTAAAACCCCCCCTTCTCTGATCCACATCCTTCCCAACTCTTCCCGCTCACTCTCCACAGCCGGTCCCCGGCCCCCAATATCCACAACCACCCCCAACCTCCCCCACCTGCACCCCCATTTGCATTGGCCTCCACAATGTCCGCTCCCTCTCTAACAAAGCTCTTGTAATCCACAAGCTCATCCTGGATGAGTACATCCTGTGGCTGTTTCCCCTCTTTGGAGCACTTCACCTTATACTATCCCTCCTCTCTCTCCTTCAAAATTTTCCTAGTCTACTGCATCCCAATCCTCCTGGCTCCTTCCTCAGATATCTCCTCTCTCCTCTCATCCCTGATGCTCTGCACAAAGCATCTACTCATAATGGGCGATTTCAATCTCCATCTAAATTACCCCTGCCCTATCTCCTCTGACTTCACCGTCCTCTCCACTCTAAACCCTCAACGTAAACTCCCCAATCAACAACTGTGACCACCCCCTTAAACTAGTCATCGCCCAGGCCTAAATATCACGGATCTATCCATCGTGGAGTCCTGTAGCTCAGTGGTTAGAGCACTCGCTTTGCAAGTGAGAGACCTGGGTTCAATTCCAGGCACAGGGCGAAACCCTGGGAAAGTTTCCTTACTCCACACGCCTAATAATAATCCCTCCAAAACAAAAAACAATAATAAATTGGTCATTTTCAATCTACGACTGTTTGTGGGACATTGCTGTGCACAATTGGCTGCCGTGTTCGCCCACAAATATACAGTCAATTCACTTTAGTGTGTTCTGTGAAGGGCTTTGGGACGTCCTCCTGACGTGAAAAGCGCTATATCAAATGCAAGGATTATTATTATTATTAAGGCCATCTCAAACCTCTTCCTCATCTACCTCTCTTCTCACATCACCCTCCCCTCCTCCAAGCCTTCCACCATCTTTTCCTGCACATGGAAAAAGCTTCCCCTCGATTCCCTCACAAATGCTCTCTCATCGACGTGCAAGGTGCTCTAAAAATGTAATTTTGTTGTTGTTGTTGTTGTTGTCCTCCTGAAACCAGGTTTGTTTTCAAGCCTGCCCGCTCCCTCTGTATAACAGTGACCTCCGCTCCCTCGAATCCCAAACCCGGTTGCTCGAGCAGAGATAGCACAAAACTGGCCTCACGGTTCACCACCAACTGTGGCTCGAGCACCTCCATACCTACCGCCGCTCCGTCTCTCAAGTCAAAACCACTTTCTATTCACAGGCCATTCTCAAGGCCAAAAATAAGCCCCAAACCTGTTCTAAACAACCCACCATCTCCTCCATGCCCGCCTCAACCACCCTCGATCCTTACTTCAGATGCCAAGCGTGAAGAGGTCCTGGACTTTATCGCCAAGATCGACAATATCCCCTTGGTTGCCTCCTCCTCCTTCCCATGTGGTCTACTACCACCACGCCAACCCCATGCCTCCTTCACCGCCCTCTTCTCCTACCACACAAATACCCTCCAATCATTTGTCCCCATCTCTGTCCCCTCCTTTTCCCCCACCATCACCAAAATGAAGCCCACCATCTGCTGCCTTGGCCCCCTCCCCACCCAGCTCCCCCTCCACTGCTGGCTGACACAATAACCAATCCTTCTCCTCAGGCTCTGTCCCACCCCCTCAAAACTGGTACCATCAGTTCTCTCCTTATAAAACCTAACCTCAATCCCTCCAACCTCAAAAAATTTCAGACCCATTTCAGACCTGCCCTCCCTGGCCAAAGTTTTGGAACGCATTATGCAAATCAACTTTGCTCACACCTCTTCCTCCACTCCTTACTCGAACCCTCCAGTCTGGTTTTCACCCTGCCCACAGTACAGAGACAGTGCTCCTCAAAATAACAAATGACGTCCTCTCTCTCTGCCTGCTCTCCACCCCGTTCGACAGTTAATCATTCCATCCTCCTCTACTGTCTCTCCTCCCTCATCCACCTTAGTGGGCCCGCACTCGCATGTTGAAGTCCTATTTGACTAACCGCCAACAGTACATCTCGGCAAACGGTTTCTCCTCCCAACACCGCCCAGTCACCTGCGGAGTACCCCAAGGCTCCATCCTTGGCCCCATTCTTTTCCTCATTTTCATGCTCCCTCGCAGCAATGTCATCCATAGACATGGGGTTAACTTCCACACGTATACAGATGACACCCAAATCTGCTTCTCCTCCTCCAGCTGTGACTCCCACAGTCCGCTGAGGTCCTGTCAGCTTGCTTGATGGACATCAAGGCCTGGATGAATGCAAACTTCCTGCACCTGAACATCGGCAAGACGGAAGCCATATTCTTTGGCTCCCGTCAATGTCTTCTTTCCTGCGGGTCCAAACTCCTCAAGCTCCTAGGGCTCTCCCTTAGACTCACCGAACCCATGCACAACTTAGGTAGGTACTAAAGCTTTCGTTTCTACCCCATATCCATTCCCTGACCAGGACTGCTTTTTTCCACCTCCGCCACATTGCCCGCCTATATATGTACCTCACACCCACAGCAGCCAAAACCCTCGTCCAAGGCTTTGTCACTTCTCGGCTGGACTATTCCAGTGCCCTCCTCGCTGGTCTCCCTAATTTACCACACACAAAATTCTATTAATTCAGAACTCCGCTGCCTGGATACTAACACACACAAAACTCTGTACCCCCACCACACCTTACCAGGCTCTACTGGTTCCCAATCACCAAACGAAACAACTTCAAGGTCCTCTCACTCGTTTTCAATCCCTTCATTCACTTGTACCTCCCTATCAATTTGACTTGCTTACCCCGATTCTACCACCCGCTGGCTCAGCTCGGCTGGCTCCGGCCTCCTGTTCGTCCCTTGCCAACTGCGCTCCACCATCGGCAGCAGTGCTTTCAGTCACGAAGCCCTGAGTCTCTGTAACTCTCTCGCTCAATCCCTACACCTTGCCCCATCTGTCCCCACTTTCAAATCCCACCTAAAGACCTTTGTTTTTGATCGTGCTTACAGTCACCTCCCCCTCTTTCTTCCCCTGGCTTGGGGTCAGACTCTATCTGTCAATCCAGGATGCTATCCCATGTGAAGGGCTACTGCAAGTTAAATGTAAAATGAAATCATAAATTAAGGAAGATGTCCAAGTCTCAGGTCTTTACCCACGACACTTCCTGCACTCCATGCTTTTCCTACTCTGTTTAATCCCATTTCCCTACCTTTTCTCGATACCCCTTCATACCTGAAGTATCTGTCTGTCTTTGAAACATTCTTTTTAATTCTGCCTGTACAGTCTTCTAGGCAATACATTTCACATCCTTCCATGTGAAGAAATGCTTTCTGATCTTACTTGTAACAGATTTAGTTCTAATTTTAAGACTGTCTTAAAAGAGCAGGGAATGGATAACTCAGTGGGAGCTACCATAGAAGAGGAACAGTGGGTTGAATGGCTTCCTGCTGAGTTGAAATGTCTGTTTCCATTATTGGACAGTATCTTTGATCTTGCATACTGTTTTGACACTGTTACACAGTGTTACACACTGTTACACAGTCACCATTTCACTGCATATTCTATTGCACCCAGCAGATCTACAAAATAGCTTCTCTTTTATTTATTTAACAAGGATGTCAGAGTGTTTCAAAAGCTATTTTTTCAATGGAAATTACAGTAATAAATTATACCTAATATGGTCACTGACAATTCCTATGCAATCTCTATGAAAGGTCTACGAATAAATTATCTGAATAAGCACAATTCTATCCACTAAATAAAAGTAAACTAAGCATACTGGTCATTTTGTTGTTGATGGGAGTTCACAACCCTAGTTAAAAAGATGGATGGCATATATGCGCAGTACCGTTTTTGGATTCAAGTATGAGGTGGGAGTTAACAAATAATGTCAAATAATAAATATCCTTTTGTTTGATTTTTTCTTAAAAAAATCATTTCTCCCACAAAATACAGTCATCACTTCACAATTTCATTCCAGTACACGAGAATGTCCACATGTAGGTGGGATGCATGGAATTCTCAGTTTGGTTTGGATACTCTTTCGCATGATGATGGATTTCCGCATGTGTCAGACTGGCCAAAAAAATCCAAACAAAAAAATCCGATAATGTTGCACACTCCCAACACAGGATTGGATTATCAGCCTAGGCTGTGAGCTCAAAGTCTCAGAGGTAAGAAGAGTGTTACCAACTGAGTACACTGACACCTAAGACATGATCCACCTGTCACTTGTAAAGCCAGGCATATTTCCATCAATAAAATTGCTCCAGGATTCTGTTCTAATGGAATCCAAAGAAAGAAAAACCCAGCTTTGTAATAAAACATAATTAATATTTTGATTAAATTAATATATTCAAAATATTCAATTAAACAAACACAACTACCCAGAACTATTGTTCGTCTTCAGTTACTGAAATACACCCATGAGTCCTGGTCTTTCAACAAAGTTCACCAAAAATGACGATCTAATTTCCTGAGCAGCTAAGTTTCCATTACACTAAACTGGAGAATAGGATCATTTTTATTCAGTAAAATGCTTCTGCATCACCCAGTGCATTTGGATAATAGCCCTTCTAATGTACTTGTTACTTTGTATCGAGTTGCACATTACCAAAATATTTGGCAGTGAATTAATTACCTTGTCCCTGGCAACTTGGAGATCGTTTTGTGGGTAATCTATGAGTGGAAGCAAAGACGAAATTCCAGGTGAAGGGACTGAATGTCTGCGATCGGCTCGAAAAGGCACTGCACTGCTAGGTGGCTGAGATTGTGGTGACTGAAACCTCTGGCGCTTGACGTCATAAGGACCACTTCGCTCATCACTCCTTCTTCTGCAATACAGAATATCAAACTACTCTGCATCAGATTATTAAAACATTGAAATAGAAGTCACTTAAACCTCCTTATGATTTGTATTAAGACAAGTAACAATTCATATTGGTGCTTGGTGACTTTAAATGCTGAATTTGACTTACTTCCTGCCATGGCTGTTGGGCAGATTTTGTGTAAATACAGGATAGGCATTATAGAAAGGCCAAACCTGTGATGGTCCTGGAGAAACCTCTCCTGTCAGAATGGTACCAGGAAAGCTGCAATAACATATTGAACAAACAACAATTAGATCAAAGTTTTGGTATTATTTGCTTTAAAAAACACAGAGCTCACTGGTTTCCTGGAGGATTTGCAATTCCTTATCAAAACAATGCTAACTTCCCAAACTCAATATGTCAAGGGAGATATCAAGTGAAAACAAATCTCCCCTACCTGTAGAAACTTGCCAACATCAGGAAAATTTGTTCTGAAGGATTTTTTTACTCAATAGAACTACTTAATGGAAAGCATGCATACTCTGGTGGCTTTTAAAAGCTTTACTTAACTCAGTACACATCAAGATTTAATTACTGTATTACTTTAAGAAAAAAATTTCAACAATGCAAAGCACAATTTTAGTTATGTGGCATAGAAAATGAGGAATAAGCACAATTATAAAAAAAAGTGCAGATTCTGGTGCTTTAATTAGCGTGTAACTGTGATACAATAGTGCAATGCATATAGGAACAGGAGGAGGCCATTCGGCCAATTGAGTCTGCCGTAGCAATTTCCTACATCATGGCTGATATGTAACTCATTTCCAACTCCTTGCCCTCTCTCTATATCCCTCAATAATCACAAGCAAATATTTATCTATACTTCATTTGAGGTACTCTTATTTATTTAACATATACAGCAAAACAATTCTTAAAATAAACAGCAGGGTTCTTAAAATACTAGAATAAATTGTGCTGCACTCACGTTACATTCCTAAAGTTGTGACTGTTAATGAACTGTTGATGGGGGAAAAAAACAGGAGAGTAGGGTTGACGACCCAGATTGGGAGAATTAGGGAACATGCTCGCCTTCTCTTGAGGTGTGCATTTATTCCTTCACCTACAAAGAAGACAGAAGTTGTGACATGAAAGCAATTTGTTTAAGTCATATCCACTAAAATATTTGTTTTTGAACAGTTCTGTTAGATTAACAAAGCTATAATAATGAAGCTGATTTTGTTCACTTATTATAACTCATCAATGTAGATGGTTACAAAATACAGTAACAACTTAATTGAACATACTGAAAAATCATAAACATTAATTTTATAATGTCTCATATTAGATCCATCTAATTCATAAAAATGATCTGTGTAGGTTTGCTGATGCTAATACAATATTTCCAAATATGAATCTTCACCTTGATTTGTGTAAAAACCTAGACTGCACTTGATTAACAGATTTATTACAAACACTTATTGTATTATTCTGCATCTTCAAGTTTTGGTGTGTGAGTTTGGAGTCTTAGGGGTTGGAACAAACAGATCCCCTTTATATCCTCTTTTGAGAGTAAAAAGCATACAATTATTAATGGAGCTGAATGCACCATAAATTGCTTTTAGCACCATTAAGCCAATACCCCCAACAACATGATATTTGGATTGTACCACAGTTGCTCCACAGTACTCTGAACACAGTACACCAATGGTCATCATGTGAATATGACATCAATTTGGAGAATTTCATAACAATTGTTATTTTCCGGGACAGATGCTGCTGCTATTCTTCCTCAATCCATTACACAAATCCTTTCAACACATCAGCTCAAAAACGGAAGTTTTTTAAAAATAAAATACTGATATGGAAAGAAGCCTACAATGCCGGATATTTAAAACTCAAGCTAAAGTTTTAGGATCTTGAATAACTAATTCCTAGGTTTGAATAAGATTTTGTTCAATTTATCCAGAAAAGAAATACTGAGAATTTGCGATAATTTCAGACATGTGCGTTTTCTTCCGTCCCCTACCAACCCGCCCATTCCCTCAGCTCAGCCGGCTCCAGCCTGCTCCCTGTCCCCCGACCCACCCGCCCCACCATTGGCGGGAGAGCCTTCAGCCACTCTGCCCCCAACCTCTGGAATTCCATCCCCCAATCACTCCGCCTCGCACCCTCCTTAGCCTCATTCAAATCCCACCTCATGACCCTCCTCTTCGACTATGCCATCAGCCACCCCCCTTGCCCTTCCTTCTCCCCCCCTGACCCCAGCTTGGGTATGAAATGCTGTTCAGCGCCATGGGACATCCTCCCGATATGAAAGGCGCTATACAAATGTAATCTTCTTCTTGTTGTTGTTGTAGAAGCATAGAGTAGGTGCAATGAGGACTTTCTACCTCAACACAACAGAAGGGAATTTCATGCTCACAACATATTTTGAAACTTTAGCGTAAACTTAAGGTTACATAAGCGATATGCCTCCCATAATATAATAGGTATCTGTAACATGGTATTCAGGTTTCATGTATTGTGATTCGATAACCACACAATGTGGTATCCACAGGTACCATTTATTGTGATTGGATAATTATACAGTAATAATAGGGTATGTGACAATTTACAATGTTGTTCACACACAAAGTGGTGGCTATAATCACTTCAGTATGTACTAGATCTAAAGTTCAGGATCATTGGAGATTTGCCTAATAATTCTGTAAAGATTTTACAGTCTCAAGATTCCCAAAGATTACATTTGCTAAGTTTCACTACAAACTGCTGATTTCACGATTACTATAGCTACAAGAACTATAGAATACATGAAGGGTATTGTTTGTAAGATACAAGGGCAAATTTTCAATTGTTGATCCTTATTGGAACCTCGGTGTCGTGGTTTACAGTTTTTACCTGGACACTGTCCTGAAGGACCGTGCTGAGAAGAGGGCGTAGGTTACTCTGGTCATGCTCGTCCCTCTTCGAGGACATCAACAACAACAAAATTACATTTGTATAGTGCCTTTCATGTCAGGAGGAAGTCTCAAGGTGCTGGACAGACAAAGAACCCAATGTAGGTTAAGTTTGCAGCATACAAGACCCGTGTGCAAACAGGCCTCCTTTACGGATCCGAGCTCCTAGGATGCAGCAGAGGGCCGACCTCAGGCCTATTTAAAAAGTCCAGGATCAAGCAGTGAGGTAGATTTATGGCAAACACGGGAAGCGGCTGCAGGGAAGGAGGGCTCCAGCCTGCACTGACCCATCGAACTAACCACCCTGGGGATTGACATGGCTATTTGCCAAAGCTCCTCACATGAGGACCTGGATTAAGCAGATGAGTAAGCAATTGGTGAACCATCACTCAATGGGAAAGGGATGTGTGTCCAAGCTGCAGAGAGGAAGATGGCAGCAATGATGTTTCATGCTGAGCTGTGTTGCCCACCGAGAAGCTTGTCAGGGTGCTATCCTTCGGATTAGAAATCAAACCAAGGTCCCATCTGCCTGTCTAGGTGAATGTTAAAGATCCCATGGCACTATTCGAAAAGAGAAGGGAAGTTCTCCTGGTGTCCTGCCAACAATCCCCCAAATAAGATTGGTCACTCATTCCATGGCTGTTTGTGGGACATTACTGTGAGCAACAATCAGACAATCCACTATTCTGTGAAGCATATTCAGACGATTCATAGGCGTGATAAAGCACTATATCAAGTGCAAGGATTATTATTATTATTGAATTACAATATATATTCTTTACAGATGCAGGCATAGAAGTAAATTATGGTTGAGTGAATCCTAGTTCAATTATTGCATTGCAGCTTTACGTCAATCCTTTTTTTCTGATTTAACATAGAATAAGCAGCTAACCTTTTTTTGAAACTGCACACTTGTCACAACATTGAAAATCAATAGGCACAATTTGAAATAATGCCAAGTTTCCTATACATTAATTTAAATTAGCAGTCATGATGAATTCACAAGACCATTTCAAGGACCAGGGAACTGAGAAGCACTAGCCAAGCAGTTCTATTGGACAATGATAATATATTACACACACTAAAAAAACCCTGGAAGTTTAACTTTTCAAATTGCTGGCCAAATCAAGCACAGAAAACTCATATAGTAACAAATTTTAATTGTACCTTCCACGAAGGCTATGAATAGAAACAACATTCATTTACAGATGTATATCAGGAATTAAGAAATCACAGAAAATAAATCAGATTATAAAATACCAAAGGAACGCTCTGAGTCTCAAATTGCAAAGCACATTTGTCACATCATACATAGAAATACTACAACATAAAAATGTGCAGTTAAAGTGTTTAAAGTAGAACCTACCAAAATATCTCAGAGATTCACAAATAACAGATGTTAATTGTAATGGCTGTAATACAGCAGCCAATTATGCACACAGCAAATTCCCACAAACATGAAACATAAAATGAAATAGCCAATTTAACTGAAAGATTGTTGTCTAGGACACCAGAAGAAATACCTTTGTTTCAAATACAATAAAACTCACCCAAGTCATATCAGTCAGGACCATAACATTTAATATGATTTATGCGAAGTCCGAGTTGCAGGCAAACTGTAACAATCATATAAAATCCGATTTAATCCATAATCTATACTGCACATGCATAATTCAATATAATAAGTGTGCATGTACCGGTAATTGCACATGTGGTGACGGAGTAAGACTGAATTTCCCGCAATTCAATGCGTCTCGACCGATTGTGGTAACGCACTTACGATACGCATTGGAATTGCAATGATTCACGGGAAATGAAGGTCTTCTGTGCATGCATTGACGGATCAAGACTACGTTTCACGCAATTTAATGCAGCTGGATGGTAAGTACGCATGCGTCAATGGGTCATGATGGCATTTCCCGCGATTCAATGCAGGCGAGAAATGCGGGAGTAACGGAGGAGAGGGAAGCGGCATTACGATTTAGGAGGTAATAATATTAAAAATTAATAATTTTTGATAGTCTTGATAAGAAATTGAATGGGACTCGGTGCATATATAACTTGGGCGATGATACGATTTATACAGGAAAGACTTAGGCAAGTTTTACTGTACTGTTATGGAATGTTTAACGTCCAACCGAACAAAGAGATGGGGCTTAATTTAAGATCACACATAACAATAAAAAATTTGCCTCAGCACTGCACACGTGCATTAACCTGCATATCAAGCACTTTCACACAAAACCATTCCATTACGTACATCTACTGACATACTACAGAGGGTATAGAGAGGGATAAATGCTTTGGACAAGATGACTATTATACACTCTGGCACTCAGTATTTTCAAAAAGAAATAAAACTACAACTGTAACCCTCACATGGCTTGAGTTCTGGACAGAGCCTTGGATAAATGACAACAACAACAACAAAATTACATTTGTATAGCGCCTTTCATGTCGGGAGGACTTCTCAAAGGCACTGGACAATCAGACCCGAGCTGGGGAACGGGATTAGGGATGGTGGAGTGCAGGGGGGGCGGGGAAGGAAGGAGGGTGATCAAAGGCATGGTCGAAGAGGATCTTCAGACGGATCTTGAAGAAGGCAAGGGAGGGGTGAGGTGGAGGGACTGGCAGATGGAATTCTCCAGGGTGAGGGCAGAGTGGCGAGTTAGGGGACGTGAAGCAGGCCAGAGCCCGCTGAGCGCAGCGAGTGGACAGATTAGTAGGAGATTAGGAGGTCGTAGACGTAGGGGGGAGCAAGGCCATGGATGGCTTTGAAGGTGAGGACCAGGATCTTGAACTGTACCCTCTGTGTGATGGGAAGCCAGTGGAGTCAGGCGAGGATGGGAGTGATAGGGTCAGGGAGCCTGGTGCCAGAGAGGACAAGGGCTGCAGAGTTCTGGATGATCTGCAGCCTATGGAGGGAGGAGTTGGGGAGACTGACAAGCAAGCAGTTTGCATAGTCAAACCTGGATGTTATGAATGCGTGTATGAGGTTATCGGCGGCCTGTGATGTGAGACAGTGGTAGAGCCGGGCGATGTTCCAGAGGTGGGGGAAGGCAGAGCGGGTCATGGCACGGATGTAGGGTAGAAAGGATAGTTGAGGGTCAAACAAGATCCCAATGTACCGGACTGGCTTAGTTTGCATCCATGGATGGTGATGCTGACAGTGCCTGAGCTGTGGAGGGAGCCAATCAGGCGAGCCTCGGTTAGCTCTGCAGTGAGCTCTCATTCAGGACTTGATGTCTGACAGACATTCTGTAAGGACAGCAGCGGTCCTGGAGTCAAGGGTGGAGGCAGAGAGATAGAGTTCAGTGTCATCCGCATACGTGTGGAAGTTGACCGCATGCCAGGGGATGATGTCACCAAGAGGGAGCATAGAGATATTGAAGAGGAGGGAACCAAGAACAGAGCCCTGAGGACATGTCAATGCAAGTTACCAATGGAGAAAGGACCTGAACAGAACTGAACTTGAAGGATATCAGCAGACGGACATCGACCACCACGACTTAGTTCATACTGAACAACTCATACTGCCCCCACAACACCCCCGATCAGCACTACCTCCACCTCAGCATCCAGGGGACTGCCGGCACCTCAGCACCCAGGGAACTGCACCCCCCCCCCCCACCTCAACATCCACAACACTGCCCCCACCCACAGCACCCACACTGCCCCCCTCCCCCCCTCCCCTCACTCTCTCCCCCCTCACTCTCCCCCCTCCCCTCACTCTCTCCCCCCTAACTCGCCCCCTCCCCTCCCCTCACTCTCTCCCCCCTCCCACTCCCCTCCCCTCACTCTCTCCCCCTCCCATTCCTCCCCCCTCACTCTCTCCCCCCTCCCACTCCCCCACCGCTCTCCTCCCATTCCCCACTCCCCCCCACCCCCTATCCCCCACTCTCGCTGCTCACCGCCCTCCCTGTGTGTCTCTCTGTGTCCCTCTCACTGACACCCGCCCTGAGCCAGTGACCGTTGGGCTCGTGCCGGGTTCTGGGGCCGCACGCGGCGCGGCGCGGCCACCCCCCTCACCCCCCCCCCTCCCCCCCCCTCACCCCCTCCTCCCTCTCCCCCTCTCTCCCCCCCCCCCCGCCCGCTCCCTCCCTCCCTCCCTCCCCCGCTCTCCCCACCAGTACTCACCGAGTTCCTGTGACTCTCAATGTTTTCATATTTTACGGAAGAGGGTTCGCGTCGAGCGGACGCCTGTACTTCCGGGTCACAGGTCAGGGGGCGGCGGGTTTCCGGGTTTCCGGGTCAGGCGGAGGGCGCGCGGCCCTCCCGCCCCCTCCCGCCAGCCGCGTGGGTGCCGGACAGGGCCGCCCTGACGCTCGTCAGCCACCGCGTCGCCATCGTTCAGCTGTGCGTTCGCGGCCGAGCGTCCGAAACCCATCACCATCCAAACCCATCACCATCACCATCCTGACCCGTGTCCAAACCCAACTGAGAATTCCACGCATCCCCTCCCCCTCCCCTCCCCCTCCCCCCCCCAAACCACTCCCCCACACACCCACCTACACGTGGAAATCCCCGAGATAAGATTGTTGTGGACACTCTCTCCCCTGGAGGGACGCCTCTCGCTTACCTCGTTCGGGAGACCCCGGAGGGTGTTAGCCGGGGGTTGGCGAAGGCTGCGCGCGCGGTCAACTGTGTGGCTTGATGTCTTAATGCTTAAAGCACTTGCATGTTTTAAGTACCATTTGGAAGACTTAATAGAAAAGAATAAACCAGGATACTTGTGGAGGGCGGCGGCGGTACGGTATTGTACAATCCAGCTACGTTCAGGAGTTGACGGGTGGCCTGGTCTGAATAGTTTGCGGGTTCAAAGTGCAGGAAACGGTTTGGTGTGTAGCAGTAGTATTGTATTGTCTCGAGCTCTCTCAAAAGTGTTGGGTATAGGGAGTCTAATGTACACAGATAGTACTCTCCAATGTACTCCAAAATCCCAATAGGTGATATATTCTTAAAGAGTTCATTTGCTCAATATGCAGGAGACTTGATGTTTAGAAAGTGATCCTATTGGTAGCTAAGATACCTCACGTCATTTTTTTGTACTTTCTACTTCATTTGAGCATTATAAAGCTAACTTTTGAGTGATCTTAGCTTTAGCTTGAAACTGCATGGCCCCCTCCCGAGCTCAGGCTCCCAGTGAGTTGTATGAAACACTTTGCGACATCCTGATGTGAAGGCTACTGTATAAATGTAAATTGTTGTTGAATCATATTGTGAAAATATTGGATCATACCTGAAAGAACTCTGTCTATCATTGATTATTTTCATCAATAACCACCTATTTTGAAAATGGAGATTAATCTGGTAAATTGCAATTTAATATCATTCAGAAGGAAGCCACTGAAGCCAATAGACTTCTAGGTGTTAAATCAAAGACTCGTATGTATGTTATCAATACAGAAACGATTGAGGAGTTTAAAGGGACAATGATAAATACCTGTGCTGTTAAAATAGTAAAGAACTGCTAAGCTATAATAAAATACTGCAGCAGGTTTAGACAGGATGAATAACATCCTCAGGTTCTTACGTTTCTGTGTGGTTCTGGCTTTACACACTGCAAGATTATGCTATCAGTTTGAAAGTACTTTTTTCTTGTCACCTGCCCCGTTTTCATTGCTGCTCTACAATCTTCATTCATTTATTTACATCTTGCATTGACTTTTTCTTTGGTTTGAAGGAGCTTCATGCCAGCACTTAACATCACAAAATTTGGTCATTTGCCTTTTAATCTGGAAAAACTGGACTGAGACAATTTCTGAAAGCTTCCTTCAGAACGCATTATGTTGTGGAGACCTGTAGCTCAGTGGTTAGAGCACTCGCCTTGCAAACGAGACACCTGAGTTCAATTCCAGGCAGGGCCAAACCTTGGGCAAGTTTCCTTACTCCACACGCCTAATAATAATCCCTCCAAAAACAAAAACAATAATAAGTTAAGTCACTTTCAATCCACGACTGTTTGTGGGACACTGCTATACGTAAATGGCTACCGCGTTTCGCCCACAAATATACGGTCAGTTCACTTTACAGTCTATTCTGTGAAGCACTTTGAGATGTTGGGAAGATGTAAAAAGCGCTATATCAAATGCAAGGATTATTATTATGTTTGAAGGGGATTGTCAGCTTTCTCTCCATACTCTATCTACAACATTGTTTAAGCAACCACACAAAATTCCACCTGAATTTGACCTGTAAAAGAATTTGTCTTAAAATTTAAGATTTTGCAGAAAATTCTTAATTTGACAACCAGTTCCTTTTAGGATGCGGATCTGATTCTGATTGAGGAATGAGCACTGACTCCTCAAAAGTTATGACAAACACTTTGAAATTAGGACTGGGTGATGTAGCGTGTTAGCAAATTAGCCTTTCGCTTCTGCTGAGACTTGTAGCCTTTCATGGTTCAAATCTGCTGAGACTGTTAGAATAAAAGTTAGTTCCACTGCTTACATTCAATCTCAGTCCATCTGTATCATTGGTACAATGGAAAATACGAAAGAGATGATTATTCAGTTGTTTCCTCACATCTGCTCCATTAATTCAAATGTGTACATTTTGTCTGTTTTTAACTAATTGCATTCTGCAAACAAGAGCTCAATACAAATGGTAATATACTATAATAGTATTTATATTAAAATAAATGGAAATTGTAAATTCTGCTGAATTGAGTGCAGCTCAGTTGACACATTGTCCTCGTTTAAACTCTTCTTTGTTGGAGATGCCAGTACTATTCCAACAAGATATAGTCTCAATTAACTTGGTATAACAATAAATACTATTTCTTGTATTTGATATAGCACCTTGCATTGGGAGGATGTCTGAAAGTACTTCACAGGAGTTACTATGAAGTATCGTGACAATGTATTTTCTTGCAAACGCAACATACTTGATTTGAAAAGTCAATTTATAATTTACAAATGTATAAAGTAAGTCTGTTGTTTACATAATTTATCAATATGAGTTCCTTCCTTGTATAACAAATATACCCAACACGTTTCATAAAGATGAGACTACTGGAAGACTATTGGATCAGCAATATTGAAGCTCCAATGTTGTTGGTGCTGCCAACAACCCATCCTCTGGAACTCCAACCCACAGTCCCTCCTCGTCACCCCCTCCCTTGCCTCCTTCAAGACCCATCTCAAGACCCTCCTCTTTGACCGTGCTTTCGATCTCCCTGCTTCCCCCCCGTGCCCTCCACCCTCCCCGACCACCAGCTCAGGTCCGAAACACTGACTGTCCAGCGCCTTGGCACGTCCTCCTGATGTGAAAGGCGCTATACAAATATAATTTTGTTGTAAGTTTTTGAGTTCCTCACAATGTAATACAATGAGGCTGGCCAGCATTCCTCCGAATGATGTTAGTATTTTAATGCAATCAAAGTGACATCGATAAGCTGTTATTCTAGACATACAACTGAGAAGTGTAGTTTGCATTCAAGGGCGATCAAATCCTTCCTTCGAGAGAGATGGTGACCCCATAGTCTTGCTCTCCTCTCGATGTATTGGGATTTATTAAACTTTTATAGTGTATTCTCATGCCAGCCCCTGACCAGTTGTGATTTCACAGAAACTATTGACCAGTTCATGCTGGTTCTTTGTTTCACATCCGCATTTGCATTTCTTCTGGCCTTCTTAGTCACTTTTCACATCCTCTTATCAAAGAAGATGTCTTTGTTCATCCTGCCTCCTGGAGCTATATGAGTCTGCCACCATTACATTCTCCTCCGGAACACACACAGGCTGAAGAACAAAGTCTCTGTCTCTCTTTCTGTCTTTCTCATGGAAACGGCCTGCTTGAGATGAGAAAGCGGCAGAGGTCTGGCTGAAGCCATACTCTTTCTGTCAGGATACACTAAATGTGAGCACAAAGCGCACCTAGCAAAAACCACCAGCTTACAGTGTTAAGAGAGTAGGGGCCGCAAGTCTATTTCTTTCTCTGCTGTGGTGATCACCTTAGCTCTAGTTCTGTGGATATTGGGTGGTGGATACCGACCTCATAGGGGAGATGTCAACAGAGCCAGGGTGGTGACTGGACTATTCATACGCATCGTAACATCTGTCTCAGATGAGTACCAAGAGAGGACTGAGACATGACAGTCTCGTGTCACTTACCCAGGCTGGTCCTCACAATTGAGGGATTCATACCCTCACACAAAAGGATTTTCTGATTTTAAATGATAAAGGCAAATATACTCTGATCGTGTGATTTACTCATGTAAATTGGTCATAATGTATTAGCATAATGTATTACTACATTGCATTGCCATCAGCTCAATAATTATATTCTCCATGTTCCATAAACAACAACAAAATTATATTTATATAGTGCCTTTCATGTCGGGAGGACGTCCCAAGGCGCTGGACAATCAGTGTTTTGGACCCGAGCTTGGGATTGGGAAGGGCAGGGCCAAAAGCAGGGTGGCCGAAGGCACGGTCAAAGAGGAGGTTCTTGAGATGAGTCTTGAAGAAGGCAAGGGAGGGAGCAAGGTGGAGGGACTGTGGGATGGAATTCCAGAGGGTGGGGGCAGAGTGGCTGAAGGCTCGTCCGCCAATGGTGGGGCAGGCGAGGGACATGGAGCAGGACTCTGAACAGATGGAGTGGGCAGTTTGGTAGGGGGTTAGGAGGTCGCAGAGGTAGGGGGGAGCAAGGCCCATGGAGGGCTTTGAAAGTGAGGACCAGGATCTTGAACTGTATTTTCTGTGTGATGGGGAGCCAGTGGAGTCGGGCGAGGATGGGGGTGATAGGGTTGCGGAATTTGTTGCGGGAGAGGTCACGGGCTGCAGATTTCTGGATGATCTGCAGCTTATGGAGGGTGGAATTGGGGAGGCCGACAAGCAGGGCGTTGGCATAGTCGAGCCTGGATGTAACAAAGCCATATATGAGAGTTTAGAACGGCCTGAGGGTTGAGGCGGTGATGGAGTCTTTTGATGTTGCAGAGGTGGTGGAAGGTAGAGCAGGTCATGGCACGGATGTGGGCAACAAAGGATAGTTGAGGGTCGAAGAAGATGCCTAGCTTCCCGACTGGCTTTGTGAGGTGGAGTGTGCATCCGTGACTACTGATGTTGTCATTGCCGTGGTGCAGAGGCGAGGGTGGGAGCCAATCAGGAGAGCCTTGGTCTTGCTAATGTTCAACATAGCTCTCATCTTGGACTTGAAGTCAGACAGTAGTCTATGAGGACAGCAGTGGTACTGGAATCGAGGGTAGAGGCAGAGAGGTAGA